CATTCATTTTCCTTTATGGGAAACTCCTTTTATTCCCTTCCTCCCAAAAAAAGTGATTCCTAATTGGAACATTTTATAATCTCTAACGTCTCCAAGCATAGAAGACATAAAAAATATACAGATATACATACACATGCATATTCATAAACACAAGTTTGTATGTATATGTTTGTGTGTTTGTATGTATCTTTCTTTTATAATATTTAATGGGAGTTCACATTCTCTATCCTCATTCTAAATCTTTTCTCATACTGCACAGCTTTAAGTTATCTTGGTCTGGGGTGCTTTATCCTCCCTACTCCTGGAACTGAAGTCCCACTATTACCTTACAGGGTTGTAGTTTAAGGCAGCAGCTTACTTGCAAAAGCCCCTCACCTTATACAAGTATTTTTCTTTTGATAGAATTGAAATAAAGCTAACAGTTTTGCTTGTATATGCAGTAAAATGTTTTGAAGCACTTTGAACATACTCATTCAGGGCATATCTGGGAGTTTGGGTTTCATATAGAAGATGAGTGAGAGTGACTGCTGTCATGACAGTTCCAACATCTACCAGCATCGCAGCCCTAACACCATCAAATGTGTTTAGCATTTTCTTCATTACTGAATTTTCTGGAACATGATAACAGCTGAGAGGAATTTACAAATTAAAAGAGAAAGCAAAATCACTCATACTCCCATGTGCCATTATGTGGCTTTCCTAGAAGATAGTGCAGACTAAAATGAGCATTCTTTCTTAATAGTTTGGGGTAATGTAAAACAACCCTAATAAAAGGACCCCTGAGTATTCCATAAACCATTGATATATAAAGGATGAATATAAAGTATGATTGTGGATTGAAAGCCAAGCTTGCATTCACTTGAAAATGTTTCATTGACCTTAACGTACCCATGTTTGTGACGTTTAGCCTAGCCGTTAAAGCACCTGAATTCCATATCAGAGTACCTGAGTTTGATGTCCCACAACATCTCCTGACTGCAGCTGCAGTTGGATAGGCCCCAGGAGGCAGCAATGATGGCTCAAGTAATTGAGTTCCTGTCACCCATGTGGGAGACCTGAATTGAAGCTCCCTGCTTCAGCCTATGCTCAGCCCTAGCTGTTGGAGGCATCAGGAGTGAACCTGTGAATGGGAGCATCCTCTCTCTGTGTCTGTCTCTCTGTGTCTTTCAAATGCGTTAATAAATATTTATTTAGTGTCTATTCACTCTTAAATTCTACTTTGTTACAGCAAGTGATATCACTGCTCCTTGAAAGATAGAGCATTTCCCTTGCTCTATTCTGTATTTAGAAATTTCTACTTGAGTCTTATCCCTTTATGGGATAATAAACACCCTTGTAAAAGCAATATTGACTTACTTACCATCATAATCTTTCTATATCCTTGGCCTGAGCTTACTCATGACTTTTGTTGAGCTAGATTGAATGGAAATCAGGAATCAAGATAGAAAACTTTTGTGAATTCAATGTTACCCAACATCAGTTAACAAATAAAGATTTTAAAGTGATAGTTGTCAAGATTGGTTATGCCGTAGTTTGTTAATAAAACACAGTCATTGATTGCACCTTTATCAATATACATAGGTCTAAAGTTCTTTGCTTTATCAATATAAACAGGCATAATTTGAAAACTGAATTGTCTGATACCACCATAGATATTTCTAAACAACTGTTTATCTCCTTACAAAAAAAAAAAAAAAAAAAACAAGAAAAAGTAATTAAAGGAATAAATTAGTCACTTCTTCTAAGGGTGTATTCTTGTTAAGATGAATTCCTTTAAAAATGATGATTACTGTAAGTTGTGTTCTCCCTAGCAAATGGACTTTGAACAGATGCTTGGTTATTATTCTTTATCTATCTTTATTCTTTAACATTATTCTCAGTTTCTCCTAAAAAGATAAAAGATACACGTTCTCTACTGCTGTAGTGCCCTGTCTTTATAAAAGGCCTTAATTAATTTTTGCAATGAGGCCTTCACTCCAGGCAGTGTTTCTCCATGACAACTTGGCCAGCCACATTTGTGTGAAAATATAAATTCATATTTATATCTTTCATCTCTAACTTTCTCTACCTTGTTTCTACCTTGTTTATAAAATTGTAAATTCAAATACATAGAGATGTGAGGTTCGTTCTGCCTTCAAAGTCAAGTCATTCAGATTCATTTTTACAGGAGAAATTCTTCACTTTGGTTGAGATGATGAAAGCCATGTAAAACCACAACCATGACATTGTCAGTTTTACATAGCCACTTAAAGAAACTTAACACCGTGTTTATAACACACTATAATATAAGGTGTAAATTGGATTTTTTTCACAAAGAAAGGTCCATCTAGTTGTAAATTCTTGGCAGAGAGACCAAGATCTGGTTTTAAACCATGGCCACCTCATGGAGCAGTGGTGAATGAATTCTCTATTCTTAAAGGCAATGAAGCTGTCATGGCAGATTGTGCACTACATTTATTTTTTACCCAGCCAGGATCTGGCTCAATAAAGTTGTTGATTTCTCCGGCATCATCAGCTAGGTAAATAAATCTTCAGATCCCTGCCCCACCAGGTCCTTCACATTGAGCTCTGCAAAACCTTTTCTAGCAGAATTTTTTGCCCATTTTACTTCTTTGTGGCTTTGTCAGTTTTTGCCCTTTGAAAACATATTGCATTATTATAGCTCCTTACTAGAGAACCTAAAACTGACAATTCTTTCTTTATGGAGATACCAATGCAAAATTTCCTCTAGTTGCACATTTTTAAAACGTGTACAGTGCTCACTCTTTAAAAATAAATTTATCTAGTTGGCATAGGTTTTTGATTGCAGTCACACAAAAATCACAATCATGAGGATGGGTATATATGCTTAAAGCTAGTGCAAAAAGGCTTATGTAGCCATACCAGAGAAGGTTATGGTGAATCAAGAAGTGATAAATAATGGCTTGCTGAATGGAAATTATCCCTGCTGAGGCCAAAAAGCAGGGATCTATAGCAGACTCAATAACAGTGCACAGTTTCCTGACAAAGTACCATCAAGCATCTCTGATAACTGTCGTTTGCACAAGCTACCTCCAAGGTTCCCAGAGAATTAAATGGCTCCAGCCTGTTCAGTTCATGGGAAATCCTCAGATTTGGATGACCCGATGTGATGACTTGTTTAATCTATCTCTTTGCTGAACTTTCTTTATAATCTCATCTATTTATTCTCTGCCCTTAACGTCATGGTGATGTTCTCAAGTAAATTTAGTTTTAGATCAAATGTGGATTAAGTGAATCTGGCAATACAAAAACATGCAGTGATGCTATGTAAAATACCACAAATTTATAGCTAAACTTCTAAGAAGTAAAGAAAATATTCAGGGGCCAAGAATAAAAGGTGGGTATGAAGAAGTGGCCAGATTGAGTAGCTTAATATAAGATCAAATATGCACCTAAGGGCAGGAGTTTTGAACTCCATCAAGGCTTCAGATTCAACCTTAGATCCCACATAAATCTAGATCAGCAGGGTAACAACACAATAAAAGACAAGAGTAGAAAAAAAATCTGTTGTTTGTGCAGGAAGTCAGTTAAGTGTTTTTTATCTTGGCCTGGGCTTTGTGTGGTGAGGAAAGTATCTCCCCTGAGATTTTATGATCGCAGCCTTCTTTATGCAGATTGTATTTTGAATTTATTCACGCACTGTCAAATGAGAACCTAGAAGCTGAGAAATCATCGGTAAAGGGTCCCTAGACCAGTGATCCCAACATTGTAGCATCTGTTAGGTGCAGACACAAAATATCATTGGAGGAATATTGGCTGAGATTGTCCTAGAACTGTTAAAGCTCAATCCTGATAGTCAGGAACTATAAAAGATCCTGAACAGTAATTTTAGAGCAAAAAGTAAAATTCCAAACTAACTTCAATGAAACTGCAAATTTTGAAGACAAAGAGGTGGGCTTATGTGAAATCAAAACACAAAGATAAAATGAGCAGAAATTTCACTTCACCAGTATATCCAGGTATACAAAATAGCTTTATAGTGCAATTCCTCTGTTCTGATTTTAAAAGGGATTTCCCTTTTAGAGTTATTCTAGTAAAAAGAATAATTTTTAGGTGATAGTAAAATGCTAAAAACAATTTAATTTCTTCTTGGATAATGAAAGTGCATGAAAATCTTAAATTGCTTTATTTCCTTTCAGGGCACCAATGAGCAAAGCTGCTCCTTAGTAACTGCAATTAAAATTGACTGATTTGTATTTGAAACACAGAGAAACAAAGACACAGAGATCTCTCATTTACTGATTCATATCTCAAATTGCCTGCAATCACTTGGGGTTAAGCCAAGCAAAAGCCAGGAGCCAGGGACTCAATCTGGGTCCCCCATGTAGATTGGCAGGGACCCATGTACTATCACCTGCTGTCACCTGCTACTCCCCAGGATGTATGTTTTTAGCCTTTGTTATATTCCTATGGAACAGTGATCTTTCTACTTTTTACTTGTTAAATATTATGGTTAGTGGTGCATTAAGCCTGTGATTATAAATTGAAATAATGTTTTTCAAAAATTAAAGAAAACAAAAAAGAACAGAAGGAAGGAGGGGGATTGAGGGAGGGAGAAAAGTATGGCTATCTTCTTAGAATTGTATCTATGAAGTACATGAATTCTGTTCTCTTTATATTAATAAAATATTTTTTAAAAAAAAGAAATCAAGAGTAGATCTGGGACTTGAACCCAGGCACCCTGACATAAGATGTGGGTTTTGTAAGCAGCAGATTATCCAAGGATCCCAACATTCATCCAAGTATTTTCTAAAGTAGGTATAGTGAAATAATTGGTCATGTTTTAAGTATGACTGAGACAGTTTTTTCGAGTTTAACTATTTTTAGCCTCTTAATTAGAATTTATCACTTTTATAAGGAAAACTTTATCATTTTTCCCTCAAAATTTCACATGGAATCATGCCAGAATTATATTTTTTTAAAAATAATATTCCAATAAGGTTACATTGATTTCCCTCTGTTTTCTTATATCTTCACAGATTGTCAGCGTTGGAAAGCATGTTAAAGGCTACCATTATATCATTGCAAACTTGGTAAGAACTCTTCGTTTTCTACTTTTCATAAGAATTACTTAAGCATTCAAGATTATTTAACTGTGCCTTAAAATAACACTCCAGGAAATGATAAGACCGCATTACTTACTAAGCTTTTTGTAACTCAGAATATTTTATTCTAATGATCATCTTATTTATAAGACTATGTTTTTATGCAGAATACCTCAATACCTGCCAGAGATCTTTAAAACTAATTGTAATGTTTACTTTGGTATGATACCACTGTTATCAAAAAATGATTTTTTTCTATCTCAATGATAAATGGTACTGCATGCATAATTATTGCCAATACTTGGGTAAAATGATGAGTTACATCCTCCAATTTTAAGAGTAACAGAATAAAACTGCTGCTTAAACAAGTCTTTCTAATAGGAACAATACAAATTATTTTAATTTGTTGACTTTACACATACTGCACACAGATGCCTAGTGAAAAAGATATATGCATTTTTATGAAATCCTTAAAGTCCTGGGACAATTCCTTTTAGATTTTTTTTTGCAAGACCTACTAAATATTTGTTAACCTTATAATGTAGAGGAAAACTAGCTGAGGAGGGACACCCTTTTCATTTTATTGGAGTACCATCTGCCCTAAGGTTTTGATCCTCAAAGTGCTTTATCCTAAGGAAGTTCAGGTTGTTTTCTTCTTTCTCTGTTTATTCCTACTACACATTTCTATCATGAGTATCCTGTGCTTGAAGCAGGAAAAGAGCTAAAGGACGTCCAATGTGTCAGATCTTTCCATGTGGCAAGTAGATCATCACATCTTAGAGAGAAATTTTCAGTCTTTAGTGAACTACACTGTGGAGCTGAGATAAGAAAATACAAATATGGACTGTGAGTCATTGTGTGTTGTTCCTGAGACAAAGTATAATTTTGCAACTTAATTGTTTATCATGAGAATAGTGAGAAATTTTGACTTGTCTTTCCCATTGCTTTTAGTGGGGTGTTTTAGTATTTTTCTCTAAAAATGTAAATCTTAAGAGGAGTATGTACCAGTCTTAGTCACTATGAGAGAAAAGAGCTTATGATTATGAGATGTCTGTATTCACAATGTATTATACAATGAGATTCTAATTACTTTTAGAGCAAATATATATAATTTTCACATCAATTCTATGTAAACAAGAGAATTGAGGGGAAAACAGTAATATCTTAGAACTATCATTCCAGAAATGAATTGGTGATATGGGCAACTAGAATGAATGAACCAAAACAAAATGGAAAACAATTGATTATGTAACACATGAGTGGGTACCATAGCCTGCTATCATAGCCCTAGTGGATGACAGCATACTTACCTTAGCTAAAGTACTGATACATGAACTGGAAAACATTTTTGCTTGTATTAAGGAACAAAACCATCAATCTCCCTAAAAACAGCAAGCTTTTTCATATGTAGTTTATACTTTTGTAACAGAATTAGGCCAGTTGACTTGCACGTGTCTACCTTCTAAAATAGTATATTAATACGGTTCTGTTGGTATATTCACTTACCATTAGAGGGCTGTTGTCTGTAACACCAGGATGGTTTTTGTTTCACTTGGCCAGTGAACAACTATTTCTTGAAAGCTATGTGCATAACATTTCCAATGTGAACACAGAATCAAAATGAAAATTTTATTAACATTACACTTAATGTTAAAGGACTGAATAATTTTCTCCTAAGATCAGAAATGAGAGTGGATTCCCTCACCCCTTATACCGAATACCGTACTTAAGGTTTTAGCAACGGCAATTAGACAAGAAAAAATATGGCTCCAAGATTGAGAAGGAAAAAGACTGAATAAACAAAAATCATAAATAATCAAAAGTAATTATAGATATGTTAAGTTAAACAGTGTTGCAAGATATAAGGTCCACAATAAAAAGCAGTATATTTCTATATACCAGCAACAAACTTTCTGAAAAAAATGAAGAAAATAATTAACTTTTTAAAATGGATTTATTTGAAAAGTCAGCATTAGAGAAAGAGAGAGGGAGAGAAAGAAAGAAAAAAATAGAGAGAGAAAAGAGAGAGAGCGATATCTTCCATTCTCTGACTCCCCAGATGGCTACAGTGACCTGCCAAAACCAGAACCAGGAGCTTCATCCAGTTATCTCATGTGGGTGGCAGTGGCTCAAACACTTGGGCCACTGTCTGCTGCTTTTCTCAGGTGCATAGGCAAGGGAGCAGGATCAGAAGTGGAAGAGCCAGGACTCAAACTGGGCCCAAATGGGATTTTGACATCAGAAGCAGTGGCTTAACCCGTTATGCCACAATGCCAGGCCCAAAATAATTAATTTATTGTTATAATTTATTACTAATAGAGGCTAGTACTTACAAATTCATTAAAACTGATTTAATGGCCGGCATTGTGGTGTATCATGTAAAGCCGCCAACTATAGTGCTGGCATCCCATATGGGCACCTGCTCAAGTCCCAGCTGCTCCACTTCAGATCCAGCTCACTGCTATGACCTGGGAAAGCAGTAGAAGATGGCCCAAAACCTTGGGCCCCTGCACCCACGAGAGATACCTGGAAGACTGTCCTGGCTCCTGGATTCGGATCAGCACAGCTCTGGCCATTGTGGCCTTCTGGGGAGGGAACCAGCAGATGGAAGATTCTCTCTCTCTCTCTCACTCTCTCTCTCTGCCTCTGCCTCTGCCTCTCTATAACTCTGCCTTCCAAATAAATAAATAAAAACAGTGTTGAAAACTAAAGCAGAAAGCATGAAGTACAACCTATGTTCACTAATAAGAAAAGAACGAAACTAAATGAACATTAGTATGTGATATATAAAGTTGTATAATGAATTTATAAGCATTCATTTTTGCAAAAGTCTTATTTAAACAAAATTAACTCTCTGGGGTCAGTGCTGTGGCACAGTGGGTTAAGCCACCATCTGCAGCACCAGCATCCCATATGGGCACTGGTTTGGGTCTCATAATGTGCTTGGGAAAGCAGTGAAAGATAGTCCAAGTCCTTGGGCCCCTGTACCCACATGGGAGACAAGACGAAACTCCTGGTTCGGCCTTGCCCATTTGTGGCCATTTGAAGGGTGAACCAGCAGATGGAAGACTCTCTCTCTCTCTTTCTCTTTCCTCAAATAATTCTGAACTTCAAAGAAATAAGTGAATCTTTAAAAAAAAAATTAACTGTCTAAAGAAACTAGGATTAACTATGAGTATTCTTTATAATCTTTTAAAATTATAGTCCTCTAAACCAAGAAATAAAGTTGCAGAAATATTAGCTTCCTAGTGGTCCTTAAATTCTTTGGCTAAGAATCAGAAAGCAGATTTCATTTATTTATATAAAATAATATTGAGTTTTTTTCTCAGAAAAAGTGCACATGGCTTGTGAATGCTTATTGACATTACCAATAAGTTGAATTTATCCTCGTTTATTTTCATCTATTTTTCAGAGAGTTAACTAAGAAAATAGCTTTCCTACTTTCACCCAAGAATTTCTCTTTTCCAGTTCTTTCATTTTGCTACCAGTTAGTTTTTAAAGACAGGTATGATTATTTGATTTTCCTGCTTAAATTTTTTTACTGGCCTCAGGCTGCAAATGCAGGAAAAGAAATCAGTCTCTCTGATCTGATCCCCTGTGGGCTTTGCAGCCCTATCTGCTAATACTTGTCTCACCTCTCTTGCAAAATTTGCAATTTTCTTGCAATCAATACTGTCCCAACCCTGAGTCATTTCCCAAGTGTTTATCATCTTCTACCAAAGTAAGCATTCTAAAGCTAAGCCCTATTCTACTGACATTCTTCAGGATCAACTACTTAGACCATTTAACTTAACGTAAAAGATGCTTTAAGAGTTTACCTGCACATCACCCCAAGTCTCTTTCCCATTCCACCCCCATGTGCCCCTTTTCCAAACCAAAAAGACTCCCAGACACCTAGTACTATTTTTCTCTTGCCAGCTTTTCCTTAGGTTGCTTTCTCCACCTAGAGGTTTTTACCCCTGCCAGTCCTAACTGTTGAATTCAGGCACTACTTTCAGAAAGTCTTTAAATTGCCACTTGTGATGTTAAATGGCCTCTTCTGGGTTTGTACATCATTTTGTGCACTGATAGTGTAGAATCCATGGTGGGGGCTTTCATAAAATCATTATTCTATAATTCCTTTGTACCAAGTGTCATCCAACATACTGTGGCACCGCTGCAAGTAAGATGTTAACACAATGCAAGCCCATTAAAGACAGGAGTGGTGTCTTTTTCTCCCTTGTAAAACTAATCTTTATTCCCACTCTTTATTTGTTGAATTTATGCTCCTTCTCTTGCACCCGGATTTGGTCTTACATTTGCTGTGTTACTATAACTGTTTTACTACACTCTAAAAAAATTAGATGTGCTTATTTTTTTTTAATTTATTTGACAGATAAAGATATAGACAATGAGAGAGAGAGACAGAGACAAAGGTCTTCCTTCTGTTGGTTCACTCCCCAAATGGCCACTAAGGCTGGCACTGCGCCCATCCGAAGCCAGGAGCCAGGTGCTTTCTCCTGGTCCCCAATGTGGGTGCAGGACCCAAGCACCTTGGCCATCCTCCACTGCCTTCCTGAGCCACAGCAGAGAGCTGGACTGGAAGAGGAGCAACCGGGACTAGAACCCGGTGCCCAAATGGGATGCCGGCCCTGCAGGTGGAGGATTAACCAAGTGAGCCACGGCACCAGCCCAGATGTGCTTATTTTGTAGACTGGAAAATGAGGTTCAGTGTAACCCAGGATCACAAAGATTGTAACTCTTTTTTTCTTTAAAGATTTGTTTATTTATTTGAAAGAGTTGGGAGAGGGAGAGGGGAGGGAGCCGGGGATCTTCCATCCACTGGTTCACTCCCCATTGACCTCAACAGCTGGAGTTGGGCTTTTCTGAAGTCAGGAGCCAGGAGCTTCCTCTAGGTCTCTTTTGTGGGGGTCCTAGAACTTAGGCCATCCCCTGCTGCTTTCCCAGGCACATTAGCAGGGAGCTGGATTGGAAGTGGAGCAGCTGGGATTTGATTGGTGCCTATATGGGAAGTCAGGGTTGCAGATGATGGCTTTACCCACTATACAACAGTGCCAGCCCCAAGGTTATAGATCCTAAAATCACATTTGAAGCACTATTCTGTCTGATTAAAACAATAAATTCATAAATAAATAAATTATAGATAAGCATTGTCACACAAGTAGTAGTAATGTCACCAAAAAAAAAAAAAATTCACTGAACCATTCCTCACAGCACCTTAAAGAGGAATCTGACCTCGGACACATTGCTGTGTATCTGTATTCACTCGTTTTTCAGCAGTCAGATAACCGAAATGTGGCCACCGACAGCAACAGGAGCTCTGCTCATTTGTTCCACCTGCAAATCAAAGTCTTACAATCTGCTCTTATATGCTTAATTTTTAAAAATATATTCAGTTTACATCTAGGAAAACATCTGGCTCTGTCATAAAAAAGTATGAAATTATTTGAAATGTTCAGGATATATAAAGACAAACTGCGTCTATTCCTTAGCTATCCCCTACCACACCACAAGCACCACCCACATGCATGTGAACACACAGGCATACCCAATGCCCCATTCTTTCCTTATTCAGAAGTTAAAGTAACATACAGAGCATAAATCAGCTTATCTGACTTTAGGTGTCTGGTTAGTTTCAGAATGAGGACTAGACACAGTTAAAATTTGCAATCTAGCAGTTTTATTCAAGGGCAATGACCTCAAATTCTACCAATTTGATAGAACATTATTTTATGTTTTCCTTTCTGCTTCCTATGTTCTTCAACTTTTCTGCAATGACTATATCTGGTTCCACCACCTTTCTACTTGTGCATCAAAAGTACATTTTCTGGGGACTGGTGCTGTGGTGCAGCAGGTTAAAGCCATAGCCTGCAGCACCGACATCCCATATGGGCACTGGTTCAAGTCCTGGTTGCTCCACTTCCAATCCAGCTCCCTGCTAATGCACCTGACAAAGCAGTGGAAGATGGCCCAAGTCCTTGGGCCCCTGCAGCCAGGTGGAAGACCTGGAAGAAGCTCCTGGCTTCTGGCTTCTGGCTCCTGGCTTCAGATCAGCTCAGCTCTGGCTATTTTTGCAGCCATTTGAGAAGTGAACCACTGGGTGGAAGACATCACTCTCTCTGTGTGTGTCTCTACCTCTCTCTGTAACTCTTGTCTTTCAAATAAAATAAGTGATAAAGCTTTTCAAAAAAGTACATTATCTGAGCAACTAATTTTTAAAAGATAGTGAGAAGGAATATTCCCCCAACCTATTTGCTGTTCCTTCTGTTAACTGCACCAGAACTATCTCAATATGATTTAGTCAACCTGTGATCCTGGAATGCAAAACACAGCAGATTATCTAAATTAGATAAGCCCTAAAGGATACGCATTTATTGAATACTGATAATGATTGATGGATTTATACATCCACATAAATAGTGATCATGATATATGAGACCTCTAATTTTAAACATTTCTTTTTCCCCCAGAGAATTACAAACATCTAGAGATTAAAAGGATTCTAGCTTCAACCCAGAGGTTCCAGCCATTGCAGCCATTTGGGGAGTAGATCAGTGGGTGGAAGCTCTTGCTGTTTATCTCTCTAGCTACTGCTTAATTTAAAAATTTGTATTTTGAATTAAAAAAAAGAAAAAAATCAATTGGAAGTTAATCTGGGGCGGTCCTTAACTGTTATGAAATACAAGCAACATAGTTGCCCATTTCAACAAGTAGAAAGTCTTTACCCTGATCTCCTGTGCTCTCTGGCTTGGGGGAGGAGGGAATCATTCACTTAGTTATTTTATTTCTCCCCAACGCAGCTGTTGGTAACCCATTTTATTACAATGCTACCCTACAGCTCTCAGCTATGTAATATTCTCTGAATAAAAAGTGAAACAAAATGGCCACCACATAACTTTAGTAGGAGACTGCTTCACAGTCTAGATACTATCAGTGTTCTACAAAAAATCATAATGAATATAAAAGGAAAAATATTTCCTGTGCTCGCACCCACACACACACAGACAGCTAAAATTAACTGAACCACCCAGCATTCATTCCAATCATAACTGAAAGGAGTTTATAATAAAACGTGGTAATTCTTTCCCTTTACCTTGAGCATAGCAACCAGATGGAATCAGAGAAGTGCGGACTGCTATTTATCCGTTAGATTTTACGTCTGATGATTTCGTGAAGGCTGCAGCTTTGCCCGCATGTTTGCAGCTGTGGATAATGCTATACAAGAAGGTTGGCAGACCTCCTATTTCAGCCATGGCTGATAGAAAATAATAATGCCATCAATTACAAACTAATGCACTATTTGAATTACTATGGCTTTTACAAAACATTGAAATTATTTGCCAGCCCGTGGGTCTGCCCTGTACTCTGACAGAAGCAAACAAATGTTGAACTGACATTTTGCTAGCTGGAGATTGATGGACAGTGTTTTCTCCGTTTCAAAAATGTAGATTTGCTTTCTGGTGTCTAATTTCTTTCTCAATGAAATGAGAATGTTACTAATGAACTGTCAAATTAGTTCACACATAATGGACATGAAATAAATATTTGTTGAGTGAATTGATTAATAGCTATCATTGAGTTAATTCAAACCATATGTGCTAGATCCTAACACCCTCATTCTCATTTTGTATGTGGGAAATCTAAGGTGAGATGGTAACAGAGGTGAGAGTCAACGTCTGTGTTTTCTTTGCACAGTATCGCCTGCCTCTCCCAGGAACACTGTGACAATTAACAAAATTAAAAACACACACCTTTCTAAGAATACTCAGGAGCACAGCTGAAAAGGCCACATTCAAAAGTGGATTTGTCTACCATTTCTTTGCTGGTGACCTTGAATACTTTCTCTTCATCCCATTGAGCTTCAGTTGTCATATCTGTAAGATAAAGTTAATCAAAGAATTTATATCATAGTCCTCCTGTCAGCACACCTGTAGATAGATAACACAATATGGGTTTAGCACAGTACCTTACACATAATATCAGCTATGAGTTCACATATTTGGTCCTGAGTCTAAACAACACTTTTGCGTAGCTGCAAATGGACTGATATATTTCTTCCTGGATAACCAAACAGTAATATGTGCATATATAGGCTAAGAAGATAAGTGCTGCATTGTACAATAACAATTTTTTAAAGTTCCAAAAGCATGACCAAGGCACACTGAGGAGGACAAGCAACCCTAAGTTTTTACTGATGTCTACTATCACTACAGTGCTACTAATGCACATTCTACTGCCAACAGACAAAGCATTTTCCCTTCATTTACTCAACATAATTAATTTTAAAATAATACAGTAGTGGTATATTCTATAAACTCGTGTATCTGTGAAAGGAAGGGTTAGCTGAGCTAGTATCTGTGTTTTATTAATTCATTGCCTCAGTATGCTTCTGTTCTTACAAATGTTTATGTATTTTATTATAGTATTTGTTTTTGTAATGGGGAAAAAGGGTCCTCTTAGAAAACATACATTGATGGATAGATAGAAAATAAATTAATAACTCTCCAGAATTGTTGAAATGCAGATAACTGTCCATAGGCCAAAAGAGATGTCAACCTTCCCTCCCAGTCTCTGCATTGCACCTGGTAGACACCATCTTTTCCTCACTATACAGGAGCCCGTGAATGACATGTCTTCCTCCTTTCCCTAACTCTGAAGTCTGTAGTGACTGATGTACTCACAGCCTTTAACTGCTGTAATTGAATCACCAGCTCTGTCTTCTTTTAGACCACTTTGTAATCAAACTCCTTAAAATGCATCACGTCATTATACTCAGAGGACTATAATACCTTGATATTACCTTCACATAATGCCCATTTATACATATCTCTATCAGAGGGCAATTATGTCCTCAACAGGAGACTTTTAGTGCTATCATATTCATCTCTTATATCCCGTTCCATGCTTCATAAAAGGCATTCAAGAAATAATTGAGTTGAACAGAACTGAAAACATTTATAGCCTTTTCTGATGAATTGAATTTTGAATGACAAAATTTCACAGTTAAATTGACATAATTAGATTTTTCACTTCTTTCTACCCATTGCTTTATTAGACATCTATTTGGATGTACATACTCATATTGGTCATAAAATTATGTCATTATTGAAGAGCTGAAATGTATAATAGTGAACTAAATTTAAATTTAACAGTCTTTCATATTGGTTTTCATAGGGATTCAAAGATATTTCTCTTGAGAGGTTTATACACGGTGGAGCCAATGTTACAGGATTCCAGTTGGTAGATTTTAATACGCCAATGGTAACCAAACTAATGGACCGCTGGAAGAAACTAGATCAAAGAGAGTATCCAGGATCTGAGACTCCTCCAAAGGTATTTGGTCTCATATAATATGTTGCTAGCATTTTAAAATCTAAAGTTGAAAGTTTATGATACAATTCTTCCAGTACTGTTTTGTCAGACACAGTGTGGCACAGGAAAGAAGCAGTCTGTCACAGTCACCGCACTTCACAAGACTTAATGACTTAGAAATCTGTATATTGAAGAGTACAGTTGTTAAATAATAGCTGAAGCCATTCACTATGATTATTACTCTATATATGATTTGTTTTGAAGAAACTGCATGTATTTTTTTCAACGTTTGTTAACTAAATAGGTCAGAATGGGCATCAGTAACTTTTCTACCCAGTAAAAATCTGTGTTTGCAAAGCAATTTCTAATTAGAGAGTAAGTTACAAAAATGGTAGGAATGTAACACGCATACTTTCTGCAAAGCTTCTCTTTGAAATTCACACTCAAAGGTGAGGTGGTTTGATTTTTCACTGACAAATATTGCAGAAAGATGTTAGTATTTGGAAATGAAGCTTGTAAATTGCTGATCATAAGTACATCTTTTTCTCACCTGGAAAGATAACTTTCTTAGGTTTCATGTAAGTAGTGGGCATAATATTTCTTAAATATTCTAATCTAAAGAGTTAAAGTTTCTTTTTAAGGCACTGTTTGCTAATCTCTCACTGACCAGTGTCTTCCACTAAAAAGTTTTAATGGATAACTGGAAAATTCAATGTAAAAAAAACCTAACATATAGGGGTAAAGGTTCTATGTTCTTCCATTTTCTAATTATAAAACTTTTCATAAGGCTATGTCATTTCCCTCTGAAATATGGGGATTTGACTATGTAGCCGTATCATCTCCACTGTCCTACAAGAATCATGAATCTCAAAATGGAGCGCTTATTATGTGTTCACTATGTGGTAAGCACTGTATTCCTTCCCTCTGAGCTTAGAGATGAAGGCATGCAAGATATTCAGTGGATATGTTAATCAGCTGTCACTGAGTCAGCTACCAGGTTCACAGAACACCCGGGATTGGCTCATTTTAATGTCTCCTGTTTGAAGTCCGACTTGTCTTTTCTGTGCTGTAGCTTCCAGCATTTTGTTATAAATATATATGATTCTGTCACAGCTTTTAATATAATGTCAGGCACTCACTAACCATTTAATAAGTATATACAGTTAATTCTCCTTATTCCCTAGAGTTTTGTTCTATAAATCTCTTCAAGTATTGAATGAGCAGAACTGAATCTTGGCTCCTGGGGGGAATACAAGGTTAAGTGTTATGATTCTCCTGTTATAATCTTTTTGTCGACCAATCAATACATAACCCTGTCTGGTATGTTTCTCTATGTAGAATCCCAACTTGATATATTGATGATTCATTAACAATGAACTTGTGGCCAGTAACACTGTGACTCATGCCTGAATGAAGCTTATGAAATGTGTATATTTTTTCTAGAAGGCCCATCACAACCTTCTTGCACTTAGGAACACTAGACAGCTCTTCAACTTGGCACTTTTAGGCCATTTTACAGTGAAATCATCAGCAAATACACAAAAATGTAGATCCATTTTAGATTACTAAATAGATAGTATTCTATCTACAACGTTTCGCTACAACATGAGAACAGAAATAAGAAAACAGAATGTTTGAGGCCAGTGCTATGGTTAAGCCTCCACCTGCAATATCAGCATCTTATATGGGTTCAGGTCCTGGCTGCCCCACTTCCGACCCAGCTCCCTACTAATGAATCTGGGAAACCAGAAGAGGATGGCCCAAGTGCTTGGGCCCCTGCACCTGGCCCAGCACCGACCACTGAAGCCATTTGCGGAGTGAACCAGTGGATGGAAGATCTATCTCTGTCTCTCTCTCCTTCTCTTTCTATCTCTGCCTTTCAAATAAATAAATAAATAAATCTATAAAAAAGAATAAAAAAAAGAATCAGAGTGTTTTGTTGTTCAGCTGTTACTGGGATCTTGAATGTTGGATGGTATAAGTTTTTACCACTCTATAGATGTCCACAAATGACCACAAAAGTATCACATGTATTGATTCGGTAGTCACAAACAGAAGTAGGCAAATTTGAAAACATAGAACCTATACATGTTGAGGATTGATCATAGTTAATTAAATTTTACTTTAAATTGAAATTCTTTACTATTTCAACCAAGATTAAAAGCACGATTTCTGATCTTGTTACTTCTGTAGCTTTAGAGAACATCTGGAATAAAGCTCTTCTATCATAGACGCCTGGCAAGTCCTTCCAGTTGCATGAGCCCCGCTCCCTTTCTGATGCTCCAGCCAGACTGAACTACCCGGCATTTTCCCACTCCCTATCAGTCCCTGAACTTCTCCTACCACTCCCATACTCCTCCATATTCATTTCTACCTATGCAAATCTAACCATCTTCCAATATATTATCTTAAATTCCACTTTGTCTCATTCCTCTTTTAAATATGATTCCTTCTTCAAGCTTCGTACTCCCTGTACTACAGCTCAGACATCACTTATCTGAAATGTTTGTGATCAGAAGTGTTTCAGATTTCTTACTTTTTAGCATTTGCATATGCATAATGATATATCTTGGGAGCCACTCCTAAACATGAAACTCGTTAATGTTTCATCAAAGCTGAAGATAATTTTATAGAGTATTTTTAATGATTTTTGCTTTTGAAGCAAAGTTTCATGGCGTGGAATTTTCCCCTTGTAATATCCTGTTGGTGCTCAGAAATTTTCAGATTTTGGAGTCTTTTGGAGTTTTGGATTAGGAATGCTCTACCTGAATTTGATTGTCTTATTCTCATCAAGCAGAGATATTTGTACAATTATTGTATCACTCCTATAAACTCCTTTGGTGAGGGAACCCTCTTTTACTTATAATTGTATTCCCTATGTCTAGCACATTTTTCAAAGGGTACTGAGACATTAGTATTATCTTGTTTTCTTTGGTTTTGCTGTTTTGTGTTCCACAGCCAAAGAATGTGCCCTACTTTCCCATAAACCTATGAGGAGCAGAATTAAAATTCATCCCCGTTCTTTCTGCTTCAAGTTAATACTTTTTCCAATGTGATTCTGCCCAGTACCAACTTGTTTTCCACAACTCAGAACTCATGCCACCAATTCTGATCACTGGCCAGAGCAGTCAACAATTACAGGCCCCTACTTACCCTGCCCTCAATGGGAATGTTTATTTAACAACCATTATATTTGGTGAAATAAGCCAGTCCCCAAAAGACAAATAACATATGTTCTCCCTGATCTGTGGTAACTAACAAAGTACCTAAAAGGTAATCTATGGAAGTGAAATTGACACTTTGAGATGTAATGATTTTGGACAGCCCTTGTCTCAACTGTTGAGGAGCAGTTTTTTTTTTTTCTTCATACTATTTGTTGACCTCCTTACTTAGTGTAGGTTAATCTTATGAGTATAAAGTTAGCTAAAAATAGATCTTTGAAAAATAATAATGGGAATAGAAGAGGGAGGAGGAAAAAGGGTGGGAGTGTGGATGGGAGTGGGGAATAGGGTGGGAAAAATCACTATGTTCCTAAATTTCATATGAAATGCATGAAGTTTTTTATCTTAAATAAACAATAATAAGGTAAAATGGCCAGTTAATAAAAGATTTTCTAGGTGCCATCTCCAAACCTGTGTGCCCATAAATATGATTACCTAAACTGTAACACAATAAGGCACATGGAAAACAATAATATTGTTTGAACAGTGAAATCCCTTTAAGCTATTGCCTCTCTCCACCTATTAGCTCTATGACCTGTCAAATCCTGGGCCTTGGCTATTCTGGGTGAATGTTTCCCTTGCTCTGTAACACTTTTGTGATATCTGTTCTTTTTCTAGCTCACTTGTTTTATAAAATTGGATAGACTTTATAAAGCACAGCAAATGCATTTGCTCTTTGGTGCCATCTCTTTTCAGCTCTTTTCTCCCTACTGAAAAAGCAGCATATTTCTCTTTTTTCTCTCTTGAGCCTGAAATGCTTCTCTTGCACTTCGAGTCTTTAAAAAATTTCACTTTATTACTGTTTTTATTTTCTTTCCTTACCAAAAAAAAAAAAAATGACATGATGGCTTTCTCTACTCAGTGAAGTATCAATTCAGGCAGGGGAGGAGAAATATTCATTTTTGATTCATTATCTGGCTTAACAACCCCAATTTCCTTCAGCTACCCCACCCTCATATTGAGGGACATACCTAGCCATAGGCACATTTTATCATATTATCCTGGAAGAACATATAACAAAGGTCTTCATTTACACAACTCTTATACGTCCTTCCAATACAATTTTTGTAATTAGGTCCTCTACAATTGAAAGGTTCTTTCTGAGAATTTATACAATATTCCTTATTTAATCCATGGTTTAGTTTTTCTAGTCCCTGGAATGCTGGCTGCTATGCCTAATGATCATGTTACCTGTATTCACTTTCCACAATTAGAATTTGAAACAATTTTTCTTTAATTTTTCTATCAGAAAATCAAGATTATCCTCTACTTGCCACAGAAAAACCTACCATTCTCACAGGAGTGGAATGTGTTAAACCTATGGAATTGACCATATAGTATTCCTGAAGGAGTTAATGTTGCTTCTCCTGTGGTTAGCAGTTGATGTGCTAGAATGCTACAAGAAAATTGTGCCCTATTTTCCATATTGTTAGTAATTCTCAAATCAAACTTTACCAAAAGCGATCTCTTACTCTTTTATTTTCAGTTTCAACAAATCACATTTTCATCTCATTCTTTCTTCACTTCCTCTCTTAACCTTAAAAACTTTTTCAAACAGCTCATTTTTCTCAAAGAGAAACATAGGATAACCATAAGAAAGCAGGTGTTCTAAACTTTATTATTTATTTTAAAGATTATTTTTATTTATTTGAAAGACAGAGTTACAGAGAGAGGCAGAGAGAGAGAGAGAGATCTTCCATCCACTGGTTCACTCCCCAAATGGCTGCAATGACTGGAGCTGTGCCGATCTGAAGCCAGGAGCCACATGCTTCTTCCCGATCTCCCATATGGGTACAGGGGCCCAAGGACTTGGGACATCTTGCACTGCTATCCCAGGCCATCACAGAGAGCTGGATTGGAAGAGGAGCAGCCAGGACTAGAACCAGTGCCCGAATGTGATGCCAGTGCTTCAGGCGAGGGTTTTAACCCGCTATGCCACAGCGCCGGCCCCATCTAAACTTTATTGGAGTGTAACAATATTCTTTTCTACTTAGCATAGAGACTGCTGCATGCATATTTGTAGAAAAGAAAATAATAATTCTTGTATTTCTGAATAAGAATAAACCATCCACTCCTTCTTTCTTGATATTTAACAAGGATATGCACTTCAAGTCAGTCAGCATGTTAAATGTCTGATAAACTTTCTAGGTATTTTGGAGGAATAAATAAGAGTAAGACGTCACAGCATTCTTGGGACTCAACCACAGCAACCATAAAGGCAGACTGTGAGAACACTGCACTTAACGTTTTATATGCTGCCTGTTTGTACTTGGACATAACAGAAAGACCTTGCTTGTCCAAATTGTTGGAAAACAGTTTGTCAGATTTCCTATGTTCCAGGTGTGTTTTTTCCTTTTAGAATCAGGATGATAAGATCTGGTATACAGTCTTTTTATTTAAGAGAGTATAAATGTTTCTCAGTTCAGAGTTAGTTATCAGTAACTTAACTGTCCTTCAGACAGAAGGGTGCTTTATGTCATAAATCCACACACCTCCAGACCATTCCTGGTGCTTGATAAGACTTTAACATTTGCCATTATCATTTTGTTTGTTTGTTTAGTACACTTCTGCTCTAACTTATGACGGAGTCCTTGTAATGGCTGAAACTTTCCGAAATCTTAGAAAGCAGAAAATTGATATTTCAAGGAGAGGAAATGCTGGAGATTGTCTGGCAAATCCTGCTGCTCCGTGGGGTCAGGGAATCGACATGGAGAGGACACTCAAACAGGTAACTCACACTTTTATTCAAGTTCATGTTATCTCATGGCTTTGTTTAAGTGAAATGGTCGAAAAGCAGACCAATTTGAACATGAACAAATATTGAGGTTCAGTAAGTTGAGCCATCATCATTTTGGAGTATCTCTAAAGAGAATATAAAGTAGAATCCTTACGTTTGCCTTTAGTTCAATACATAGTCAGGATAAGCTAGAAATACACTGTGGTAATAAGCAACTCCAACTCATAGTGGTTTAGAACAATAAAGAAGCTTTGCTCACTCCCTCACTAACAAGGACATTCTTATTATATTCACTGGAGAACCATCTTGAATGCTACAAGGGGAAATAGATTATTGTGGGAAGATTTTAAATTAGCAATTAAATGTCATGGCTCTGTAATGACACTAGTCTAGTTTTAAGTGTTCCAAAATACCCTGGCTTCAAAACATAAACATAGTAAAAGTCAATTTATAGTAAATTTAGAATGAAATATACTTGAATATCTTCAAATATGTGTTGATATTTCTTAGCTTCTTATATCTTAATTTTAACACTAGCAAGGATAAGATGGTGTGAGTATCATTATATGGACATATAGATGACACTGAAAAGTAACTGAACAAATCTTATTTCCATTCCTATAAAAATATTTCAATATTAAAGAAGAAATATGTTAATTAAAATTGAAAGTGTATAATATACAAAACATATAAACATATTTGTCTTCCAACAGAATACTTGTATTCGTCTTTAATATTCCTTTTTCAGATTTTTTTTTTTTTTACAGATAGACAGTGAGAGAGAGAGACAGAAAGAAAGGTCTTCTTTCCGTTGGCTCACCCCCCAAATGGCCACTACAGCCAGCGCTGTGCTGATCCAAAGCCAGGAGCCAGGTGCTTCCTCCTGGTCTCCCACACAGGTGCAGGGGCCCAAGCACCTAGGCCATCCTCCACTGCCTTCCCAAGCCACAGCAGAGAACTGTGGAAGAGGAGCAACTGGGACTGGAACCCGGTGCCTACATGGGATGCCGGTGCCGCAGGTGGAGGATTAACCAACTGAGCCAAGGCACTGGCCTCCTTTTTCAGATTCTAAGCTTTCAACTCAAATACCCAGCCAAATGGCAATTTAATGAATTGGTTTTAGTTTATAGTTCCATATCCTTATAGTTGTAAGTGTAGTAGATGACATAGAGATTGCTATTATTGGCAAATTGATACATGTGTGGGATTTGTTTTTCAAACATAGGTTCGAATTCAAGGGCTGACAGGGAATGTTCAATTTGACCACTATGGACGCAGAGTCAATTACACAATGGATGTGTTTGAGCTGAAGAGCACAGGACCTAGAAAGGTGAGCCACAAAGGAACTGAGAAAAGAACATTCTGTCATGTTCACTTGTATTTCACACTTTCAAGGGCTTATCAAGGAAAGATTGGTGGATATTCTACACCTCCTTTTCTTTTTAAATGTGGTACTTAGAAAAGTACTGTCTTAGTAACCTGTGCTAAAATGAATTTTTGTGTTATAATAGTTTAATATTTAATGGTGTACCAAAGCTGAAACAAACCAATTTATGTACCCTTTATATCCTTTCTCCAACATGGAAACAATATGGGTATTGGGGGCAAAGCTTATCAAAAAAACTAGAATGAAATCTACTCTACAGGAAAGAATATAATGCATTAAAACAACTCTAGTGCCTCCATGTAGTCCTTTATGAAATCATTACAGAGAATGCAAGAGCAACTACTTCTGTCAGGTGGGTATAATTAGAACAGACTGGATATTCTTTTTTTATTTTTTATTTACTTTTTTTATTTATTTATTTTTTTTGACAGGCAGAGTGGATAGTGAGAGAGAGAGAGACAGAGAGAAAGGTCTGCCGTTGGTTCACCCTCCAATGGCTGCCGCGGCCGGCGCACCGCGCTGATCCGATGGCAGGAGCCAGGAGCCAGGTGCTTTTCCTGGTCTCCCATGGGGTGCAGGGCCCAAGCACCTAGGCCATCCTCCACTCCACTCCCTGGCCACAGCAGAGAGCTGGCCTGGAAGAGGGGCAACCGGGACAGAATCCGGCGCCCCGACCGGGACTAGAACCCGGTGTGCCGGCGCCGCTAGGCGGAGGATTAGCCTAGTGAGCCGCGGCCCCGGCCCAGACTGGATATTCTTTAAGTAGGCAGGTAGAGCAAAAGAAAGCAGACAGAAGATAAGATTATTAAGGTTATCAGTAGGGTGAAGAAGGAAACAAATACTTGCGTTATTCAGGATGGTGCTGCTTTCAGATACTTGGATTTGGAAAAGCAACTGCTGGTTAAGGCATATCAGTGATCTTCTCAAATTACTCCATGGAATAACAAAAAGTACTTAATGTAAGGAAACAAACAACTCCATTACAGTAATTGATTCTAAGCATCTTCTAGTCAACACATGTGATTTTAGCATACCTGTCACTAGAATTAGTTTGTATTCAAAAGGAAAGAGATGTTCAAGTTTGCCATATCTACAATGCTCCTTCAACACTTAGCTGCTTAGAAATATCTTTCCAAAATACACTTTCCTGCTTTACTAAAATAATCCTGGCTATAATTTATAAAATTCCTGTTATGTCCCAAGCACTGGACCTCGTGTTTGCATGTTTAATCTTCACAGAAAATCTATAATTTGAGTGTTATTGTCTCCCTTTTTCATATGGGAAAATTATGGCCCAGTAAGTTACAGTTACTTATTTAAAGCCAGTCAGTGAAAAAACAAAGATTGTAATTAAGACATGTATGTGCCAGAACCTTCCCATGTCATACTTTGTCTGAGAAGACCCTGTGGAAGCTTTTATTTTCTAGTTGAATAGAGATATAATGGCTTTCATTTGACAAAGAGGAGACTAGTGGAATTTCTAAAGCATGCAAAAGAGATCATTCTGGAGGGAAGAAGCCAAATCAATGAAGGCTGCATGCAGGAGGTGGGATTTAAAGTTAGCCATAAATTCAGAGTTTGGAAAGGTAGCAATAGACAAGGCAACAACCTGGACAATGTCATGGAGACAGAACAGTTAAGATCATATATGGAGAGTGGCAAAGGCTTCCCAGGTTGTATTTCAGTCTCCCATATACATGTATCTGTATGAGAAGGATAACTTTGTAGCTGCCAAGAAAGTCCTCTCTTTCTAGCCTCTTAGTGGCATTTCCTTGTGTGCAGACTGCTGGTCAACATCGTAGGTTGAAGCCTACCTGATCCAGCTCAGGAAGGGCAGGAGCTGGATGACACCTGAACAACCCAGTCTCTAAGAAGACTACCCAAAGCAAGGGAACAAAATCATTTCCCAAAAAAGAGGGAAATGCAGAGGATTCCATGTCAACACCCACTTCACCCACTCTAGCAGAACAGCCAGCAACCAGAAATAGGCCAATTTAAGCTGTGGAGCAGACAGATTACTCCAGAGGCTGGGGAAAATGTTGGCTGATGGGTGGGCAGAGGCGAGACAGGCCCAGCTTCCAGTGTACATCAGACCTTGCAAACTCAGCTGTTGAGGCTGAAGATTTTTAAAATGCAGGCATTCCATATTTTATAAAATGGTAAGAACCAAAAATGAAATGACTCCCTGTAAAACAAAGAATAATGGAAAAAGGAAGCTTATGGAACTCAGCAGTAAAATAAAGTGGCCTATTTACAGCACTGAATCTTTTCATGGCCTTTTGAGGCTTGATGGTAACAAGAATAAGGTTTTCAAGGAGAAAGTTTAAGAGTAAGTTGGGAGAGTGATGAAGAGAATTTCTTCTCACCAGCTGACATTCATCCAAGACTCTTTAAAGAAATATGAAGTGTAAAATGATGTAGAATCATCTGTCTTCGTTTTCCTGTGGCAACGATCAACTTGGGCACTCTGTCAGGAATATTAAACCTAAAAACGAGCTGCCATGAGAAACACTGTGCTGGTGAGACCAGGCAATATGTCTGAGAAGTGAGCAATCATTCTTGTAAATTGAACACATGCTGGCAAGGGAGTTATCTTTGAAAATAGATCAAAGATTCAACCCATCAGTTTGTCTCACTTCTGGAATAGGAGGACTGACTGAGAGTCTCATTAGGCATAAGCCACAAAGCCCTTTCTGAAGTCCTGGAATCTTCTCAACCATCCCTGCGACCCCTCCTCTACGCCCCTTGGCTCCAGAGGAAGTGGTCCAGAATGAGACTTGCATAGTTTCAAGTTTTCTTTGCTGTAAAAATATTATTGAGAGCAAGTTATCTGCCAGACACTGTCATGGAAAACAGATGTGCTTTTTTATTTATATCCTCGGGACAAATAGAAAATAAGTTGAATTTTTTTTCTCACTTTATAGAACAGAAAACAAAGGCTCAGGGATGCTCATCCATGTTCAGTTAAAAAAGGTGGAGCCAGAGTCAAAATCGAAATCCCTGGCGCTCCAGAGCACACTCCCTTGCTGCTCTGAACATCATCAGCCCCACTGCTTAGAGTTCTGTTTAGGGCTGGTGTGAGAATTAAACCACATTTTCCAGAACAGGCCTAGTCAAAATGACTCTCCAAAATAACAACTTTGAGCAGAATAGGAGCTCCTCATAGCTCATCATTCCGTACCCAATCCCTATGTTGCAGATCAAGAGATGTTGCCAACATCTTTTATTAGGGTTATGTTTGCACATAATTCTTATGGAGTCCAAAGAGAATCATTATTTTTCTGACATCCTTTGTCAGTTTAGGGGTTTTTTTTAAGGATTTATTTATTTAATTGAAAGGTAGAAACAGAGAGAGAGAGAGAGATCATCCATCCATTGATTCATTCTCCAAAAGACTACCAACAGCCATCACTGGGCCAGACCAAAGCCAGAAGAAAGGAACTCCATCCTGGTCTCCTACTTGGGTAGCAGAGGCAACTACTTGGGCCATTTTCTGTTGTCTTCTCAGTTGCATTAGCAAGAAGCTGGATCAGAAGTAGAGTACCCTGGACTTGAACTTGCACTCATATGTATCCTACAGTTGTAAGCAGTAGCTTAAAACACTACAGCATAATGCCAGCCCCAGTTTAATGACTTAAATACTTCCAGAAGTTGCTGTCACATTACAAAATCACTTTTCATCCACTTTGTATCTCTAGGGTAAATGACTGTTTCTTTATTTGATTAAAGAGGCCATGCATGGAAAATGTTCTTGGAAATTTTAAGTTGTAAAGAACAAGAGACAAACTTCATCTCACATGAGGTTCTAGGTCCAACTGTAGAATTCCTTTCTGTAGGAAGTGATCCCTTCTATGATCTTAGTTCCCAGAAAAATCATGGCCCGTGTGAAATCTACCATTAATAGAGCCCATCATCACAAAGTACAGCTTTATTTTTTTGTCAGAATTGCATATAGATAGCCAATACTATTATTTTCATTTGTTGATACTTCTGAATCATTAATCTTTGGGGGATGTGTGTTCGGGGGATCACTGTCAACCCACAGCTTAAATGCAGAATTTCAAGGCAGTATCTGAGGACTCTCCAAAATGTATCCCAGATGTGTGATTTTATTTTTTCTGTCATGGGATTCATTCATAAAGAAAAAGTGTCTTTCCGGAAAATGGGCTGTTGAGATCTGCAGGGTGGCTGTGCATTGATGGAATGCGAAACTGTAAAACCCATTTTCCTGTCATTTAGCTGTCGTGTGGAAAGGAGAGGATTACAGGAAGCAACGGATATTTTTTGAGTACATAGTAATTGGAAAGAGAGTGGATCCCGCAGGTATACTTGGGTTTCTTTTTTTTTTTTTTTTTTTAAGATTTATTTTATTTGAAAGGCAGAGTTAGAGAGAGAGAGAGAAAGAGAGAGAGAGAGATTCCATCCACTGGTTCATTCCCCAAATGGCCTCAATGACTGGAGCTGGGCCAAGCCAAAGCCAGGAGCAAGAATCTTGATCCAGGTCTTCCTTGTGGGTGCAGGGGCCCAAGCACTTGGTTTCCCTGCTGGTTTCCCAGGCACATTAGCAGGTAGCTGGATTGGAAATGGAGCAATCATTACTTGAACCGGCACCCATATATAGAATGCCAGCAGCATCAGCCCTGATACACTAAATTTCTAAATTATTTTTTCATGTTAAATATCATATAGATACCAATTACAAATGGATTCACATGCACAATTGAAAATAATTGTTACATTTATATGTACTATAATTTTCGATCAAACCAAGAAGTATAGCAGCTACATTAATGAAGATCTCTTCTCTGTATCTATTCTGTTATTGAATCACATATGCAATACTTGTGCATAACACAGTGCCCATCTCTAAAATATTAAGGTTTATTTTATTTTAATGTGACCATAAATAATAAAATGAAAGTTAAAACTTAGGGGAGGAAAGACAGACTTTGAAAACGTGTTGGAACAAGTAGTGAAAACAGATCATTGCACAAATACAGGCATGTTATTGGAGTCATCAATTAAACAAATGCATCAAGAAATTCAAGAGGTTTAGCAAAATTAAGTGAACATCCCTTTGGAGAGGCTGTGTAGCATATTATGTGGATTTGAGGTCACATTGACTAGAGTTTTAAATTTTGGTCCCATTAAAATATAACCTTTTATAATTTATTTAACTTTCCAAAATTGGTTCTCATCTCTAAAATATGGATAATTACAGCACTAACCTCTAAATTCACTCTATGTTTTAACTTTAGGTTGCTTATTTTAAAAGAGCACAGAGTGTAATGCCTGCTCACAGCAAGCATTCAGTATTTGGTAGCCATTGTTTTAGCTTAATGGTCTGCCTGGATCAAAGAATCCTAAATTTTTATTAAAATTCCATTGTGGTTTCCTACTTTTTAAAATGTTTAATTATTTCCCTTATTGTATGGAAAAATGTTTCACCTCTACATGAAAGAATAACAATGATTTTAAAATTTAAAAATGTAAATATAATTTTGAACATGAAAATATTATTTATTAATATTAATCACTAATGTAGTTAGCATTTTAGAAATGGTAAGCTTGTTATCTTGTAGATAGGTTAGAACAAACCATTTCTATATTGCTTTAAAAATATCTAAGTTCTTTTCCTTGAAAACGTACTGTGTATTTCCTTTTATAAATCCCCTTTACCATATACCTTATAACTACATTGATAAACTCATATAGCTAATATTATAGAATGCCAATCCACCTCACTACAGGGAGCAGCAACATAATTTCCAATGTCTTGGATACTCCTTGACTGTAAATTACAAATTGCCAAGTGTGTGATAGGGCATCACTTTGAGTATCTGGAAAATTAGCTCATCATCAAATAATGAAAGTTCCACTTTTTTTATTTTCATTTAAAACTTGTCTTCATTGCTTATTCATTTGTACTCCTTTCATCCCAAAAAGAACTAGAGTAAACTTTTAAAATACATTTTCAAGTATTTTCTCTATTTGGCAGGTTGGTTACTGGAATGATATGGATAAATTAGTCTTGATTCAAGATGTACCCACTCTTGGGAATGACACAGCAGCTATTGAGAACAGAACAGTGGTTGTAACCACAATTATGGTAAGTTTTGGTATATGTTTTATGGTATTCCGCTTTGTCCACAGGCAATTTTAGCTCCCCAGCTCACATGAACAGGCAGGGTAAAAGCTGAATCTTAGCATGGTGTCATGGGTGCTCTGATCCACCAAAGTCTACTGAGGCTTTGAATAGGGCTATCCTGAGCTTGAGTACTTCAGTACTTTTATTTGAATTATCTTTTTTTTTTTGCATTGTTCTTGGGAAAAATGCTCAGATGTTAAAAAAAAAAAAAGAGAGACTGTCAAACTCTAGTTGGAAATGTATGAATGCTGAGACCCCAAAAGACAAAAAACAGTGAACATGAAAAAGATCAACAAGCAATCACATAAAAATATCCAGTAGTAAACACCATATTATTGTTGTTAACATGTTGTTTTTTAAAACATCAATGTAATAGTATTTGATAGTATTTATAATTTTTGAGTAGTTTAGTCATTGAATAATGATTCGCATTGTCTGTTTACAACAGTGGAGATGTGAATGTGAAGATTTTAATGAGCATGGTTTATATAACTGAATACTTTATAAATTCATTTCATATTTATTTTTTATGTGAAAAGGAGTTTTCACACCGATTATTTTTCTCACTGACCCATGAGGAATACAGAATATAATTTATTAGAATTCTAGAAATTAAGAAAAATATGAATGCTTCACTCAGTTACATCATAAAATGAAAAATAATTAAATTTTAAGACTTTTTTCAGAGCTTTTCTTGAAATTACCTTTTAAATAATAGAAAACCTTATGCATCTTTCTCTTTTGAAGCCAAACATGCCCTTTAGAGTCAATGCTAGTCAAAAGAGATCAACAATCGGTGACCTTTTCTATCTAACTTAAAGTTATATATGCTCAGCTCACTGTCTCTCCAAGCAAAACATATCTTTAATTATTTATGGAAACCATTACTCTAAATAACATGGTACCATTTTATGTAATATTAGCTTTTAGCTTATATAACTTTAGTTTTAGGCTTTTAATAATATTGAATTGTTCCCAAAAATGACATTGAGGTCAAAAAAATGAAAATACCAAGGAACAACTTTCGTATGTTGCCATTAGCTATGTCTGTGTTGCATCACCAGTTAGCAGCCTCATGTAATCTGTCAAGTCTTGATGGGAAGTTTATGATTTTAGAATGCAAAGCAACCAACAACAGTTTTGTGTAAACTTTCTTACTTAATTGTGTAATATTTGCATGGGACTTGAAAAGCAATATATATATATTTCTTTTCCTAAAAAAAAAAAAAGACACAGTCATGGAAAGTCATACTTCAGTACAGTCCTCCTCTTTTCAGCCTCTGATGAAGAATCCTATTTTAAGAAATTGATCAAGAAAGGAAAGAGTTCCACGCTGTTCGACCATTCCTAACTAAGGCTCCAGTATTGTTCTCCAGTGTAGTAAATTTAAGCTTATTTTTCTGTGGGATTCTTCTTGGATGATCAACTCTGGACTACCAAAAACAATTTTTTAAAAATTCTGTGACTTTTCTGAGAAACTAGAACAAAAGAAGAATTAATTCTCATCTTTCTCAAGAAAAGAGATTTTGAAAAAAAAAATCATTTAGCAATTCTGAGATATCAATTCCCCTATCTTGAAATGAGCTCGTTGTACGTGAAGGATGGAATTCTATCACTCCGATTTCCAAGGATAGGTTTTCTAAAGGCAAATATCTGAATTTGTGTGCTTGTTTTCTGGATACATATTCAATTGTTTTCTTATTTTTTTTTAAGTTTGCCTGTTTGTGAAATAAAGTATGTTAATGTACTTTATAGATACAGTGTAAAAAATCTCTTCTCCATCCCTCTTATTGAAGAGGCTGGACATATAATTCATAAAATTGAAATATTAAATTCTGCAAGCATGGCTAATTTTCAGGAAGCATGCTATCAAAAAATAACTAAGAATGCCTGAAAAATCCAACTGTCTCCTTTATATATTTGAAGAATATTCTGTAAAGTTATCTGTTGTTTGAAAGTCATGCCATTAGTATTTTTGCCATCAAAATAGTGTAATACTAGTATCTGTCTTTTTGTATAAAAGTGTAAATACAAATACCTCTAGTATTTGCAACTGGATAATTAATCATCAATTCAAAAAGACACACCAAAGTCTTTTGCTTGGAAGTGTTCTTCGTATTTGCTTTTATTGAAAATGGTAGCGCAGGACGTATGACATTTCTACCACTTCATTCATTTTTGAAAGAAATAAGATTCTTTGTAGATGAATGACATATTGGCACCTGCATGTAATAATTCCTCAAATTCAATTGAAAACTCCCAATACAGATGGAGATGGATAAACATTGTAATATGTGCAATGCAGATATCTATATTCAAAAAAAAAAAAAAAGCTGAGAGTGAGCACTGGAAATCATTCATTTTGATAGAAAATGGTATGGTGTTATTGTTCAATTTGTTGTTTCTTTGTGTATGCTGTTACTGACATGTTGATACACTGTAATGATATATACTATTCTTAAATAAAATTGATTGAGAAATTCAGTTATTCACTCATAAATATTTATTGAGCGTCTGCTATGTGCTAGGGACAGTTACTGGCCCTGGGGGTGTCAGGGAAGAAAACAGACAAAAAGCCAGCATTCAGTGGAAGTTAATGTTCAAGTGAGAGAAAGCAGATAAGAAAACTAATTAATGATTATATTAGCTATCACTCTTAATACCATGTGGCATTAGCTTTTTATGCTGTTGAGTTTTTTCTTAAAATAGTGTGGTATATTTATAATGTGACCTTAACTTTAATGATGAATTTATTCTACCTGAATGTAGTCATTCTGAATGTAACTAAATTTAGATAGAAATAAAATTAGAAATATCTTTTTAAGCCTTATTAACTAAAATTTTTCTAAAATTTGTAATATTCATGACCATACTGAATGTACTTTTTGCATTCAGAGGAATGATTCCTGTAAACAGCCTAAGAAAGTCAAATCTGCCATGATATTTGGGTAAGTGTAGCAATAAAGGGTGAAATAGCAGACAGTAGATATTCCAGAGGGAAGAAGGAAGCAGTTTCTTTTGTAATCTCACTATGTTCTTTGGTCATTGCATTCTCTCAAGGAGAGAGGCAATGAATTTCAGACAAGCCTTTTTTTCCTCAAAGCTTTACAACTGAGTTTAAATGATGCTAATAACACATTACTCATCTAAGAAAGTATTTCTTACCATCTTATAACAATCCTTTAGGAAAATTTTTGAAAAAGCCAATTTGTTCTCTAAAGCATTGGAATTATGTTAGAAATCTAAAAGCAATTTTATTTATTTCACATGACCTTTCAAGAAGTTACTTTTCATAATTTTTTAAAGATTCATTTATGTATTTGAAAGTTAGAGTTACAGATAGAGAGAAGGAGAGACAGACAAGGAGAGAAAGAGAGAGAGAGAGAGAGATAGAATATCTTTCATCTACTGGTTCACAACCACATGGCCACAACAGCCAGGGCTGGGCCAGGCTGAAACAAGGAGCGAGGAACTTCATCCAGGTCTCCCACATGGATACAGGGGCTCAAGCACTTGGGCTGTCTTCCACTTCTTTCCCAGGTGTAACAGTAGGGAGCTGGATTGCAGCTTGGACTCAAACTGGCACCCAATGGGATACTGGCATCACAGGCAGCCCCATGCATTTTAGTTTCTAGTGAGATTTTTGAAATTTTATACATGCATTCTATATATAAAGGTACATATATAACATACAATACATGTACATCCAAATATATGTATATGTGTGCATATTAAAAAAATAAAAATGTACTTATTTTCTTCCTTGTAGTAAATCTCTTCCACAATATAAAATCTCTCCCACCAAGGGACTTATAGCTCAATTAGCTTTTAAGTAAAATTGTTTAAGTCAAACTCAAAATTCTGTATCTGCTAAATTTACTCATTTTTTAATCATTGAATAATAACATCTTAATTTCTACCTTTAAGAATTTTACCCATGATATAAACTATCTTCAGGACTCTTTGGAGAAAAACAACTATCCACATAGAAAATAAGTTTGATGTTATTAATTTCATTTTAACTGTTTGTAATAGTAATGGCAATTATTATATTCTTGATGTTTTGGAAATCTTGAAGTCTTTCTAGTAAATATCTTGTTTCAATGGTTTCACTTTTGATAAACACACATAATACAAAAAATTCTCAGTGGAAAAGCATACTTTATTAATTAAAAATCATCTTAATTCATTTACACAAACATTTTCATAAGCAAAACCTAATGTAGCAGCCTCTGAGTTATTTCTTTCCTGAAATAGTAGAGTATATGTAGAACACCATCCATTGTGGAAGTTGTCTTGCTGAACTCATAGTCTCTGAGAAGTAATGCCTTTAAAATAACTTTTAAGGAATCATTGTTCCATGGAGCACAGTAGTTGATACTAAAGATGGAAGTTATACTCTTGAGGCAGAAGTAAGGAGTTCTCACTGTACTGCTTCTCTGATCCTTCCATTTTTGTTAACAATTAAACACATGGGCCGGCGCCGCGGCTCAACAGGCTAATCCTCCGCCTTGCGGCCAGAACACCGGGTTCTAGTCCCGGTCGGGGCGCCGGATTCTGTCCCGGTTGCCCCCCTTCCAGGCCAGCTCTCTGCTATGGCCCGGGAGTGCAGTGGAGGATGGCCCAAGTGCTTGGGCCCTGCACCCCAGGGGAGACCAGGAGAAGCACCTGGCTCCTGCCTTCAGATCAGCGCGATGCGCTGGCCGCAGCGCGCTGGCCGCGGCGGCCATTGGAGGGAGGGTGAACCAACAGCAAAAAGGAAGACCTTTTCTCCGTCTCTCTCTCTCTCACTGTCCACTCTGCCTGTCAAAAAAAAAAAAAAAAGTTAAACACTTGGGACTCTCTAATCTACTGTAAAAGATACCCCACAAATCCCTAGAATCCTAGAATCCACTTTTAATACCTTGAAAAGATTTGGTATTTTCTTTACCTATAGTAGACACCAAACTTCATGTTAAATATCCCCAGGATGCCCTCAGGCAGCTTATCAGATCGGGGCAGATGAGGCAGTTAGAAGACTGATGAGGATGTGCTACTCTTTTAGATTTTATGTGAAAGAAAAGCAAAATGAGAGACACTCAAAGGAACTGGGCAGCTAGAGCTGAGCTGCCATGAAATCCTTTGGTCAGGAAGAGCCTAGCCTTGCTCTGCCTTTGCTCCTCCTGCCTCCCAGAGTGCAGTCACCATATTTTTCCATGCACCATGCATCACTTATCCTGAAATCTCAACAATTACTTATCTGCTAGTGTGAAAATCCAAGCTTAATATCTAATCACCAACTTCAGTAAGCTAAAGGTCTTCCTGATCTTGATTGGTTTGCTTGGAAGGAAACAAAGAACTGATGGGTCTCTGTTGTCCAAGAGGAAAATAGAAAAAACAATAAATACATAAATATTTTACTCATATTTACATAATTCTGCTTCAGAAGAGGATGACCTAGTATTTACTTATATTTACTTCCCTTTTGAAGACCAAATCAGAAATTCTAGTATGACCACTTACATTGATATTCTCATGTAACACTAAAAACCAGAGCCTCTTTATAGTTATTGAGTGCTTTCTATGTGCATATGATGAAGATAAATGGAAAGTTGCTTCCAACATTGCGTAATTCAAAAAAAAAGAAATCAATTCACTAAAAATTCAGAAATGCATTTATTGAATCTTGTTCCCTCTATTGTTAACTTGTCTAAAATCTCAATAAGTTTCACCTGTTTTGATGGGCAACATCTTCAAAAATGTCCAGATATTTTCATATGTAGGCTCAGCTCACACGTCTGTCACTTGTTATCTCTGTAAAATGGAACAATTTGCTTAACTTCTCTGTGTCTTAATTTTTCCATCTGCAGATTGGGAAATGTCCACCTCACAATGTTAATGTGAAAAGTAAATAAAAGTTCACACTTAAAGAACTGAGCCTTGTACCTCAAAGTGTAGGCAGTAATTAAGTCACAGCTATTATTGTCTTTCATCTTAGATTGTGTTATTATTCCCCACCACTCATACTCCTTCACACTTATTACAAAGAATATATGGTGATATTGACACTAAGAAGATTAGGGGTATACCTTACTTATTTTTGTGTATCTCTCTCTCTCTCAGAAAACTTCTTGGTACGCAGTAGCTCTTTAGCAAATTTTTAAAAAAATAAATTGATGACTCTTAGTTAAACAAATTGTTCACTAAATAAAGTAGATGAAATTTAGCAAACTAGATTATTTTCTACCTAGAGAAACTTCTACATACAAAATAATTAAGTAATGTCTATATTTAAGGGCTAAGACACTTAAGTGTTCTAATATTCCAGATACTTTAGAACTTACTTTCAACCTTATTAATAAATGGGAGTCTTAGCTAGACTCCTTTTGAATAACTCATAAGCTTGTTATCTTTTCAGATGAGAGCTGTAGAGACATTTCAATTTGAATGTTAGGCATTTCACAGATAATGTGGCACTTGCTTTTTTTCACATGATCTTCTAAATTGTAATTATCCTATTATAAAAGTAGAAAATGAATTACTTCACAATGATGTACATGTTGTAGTAGATTTTAGAAATTAACAGTACTTTCCATCAACTTGCCAATCTTCATGATCACATAATTTCCAAAACTCTTTATATTTACAAACCATTTTCCATAAGCTAACAATTCTTCTGTCTTTACAGCAGAGATAACTAATTATTTTAATTTTGTAGATGAAGAAACTCTCTTTCCCAATTCCACTGTTAGAATATTCATCAAATTCAAAGAAATCAGAGACTGCTAAGTCACTTGGCCCTACAGGATTGAAGAAAAGAGTGCACGGCTCATTCCTGGCCAGTTTCCCACTCTAGAATTATTGAGGTCATCTATAATGGAAAATAAAATATCACATAATTTACATTTTTATTAATTTTTAAATGACTTTTTACATTTACAAGTACTTACAAGCAAAATCAGAATTAATGTAGACCTCCATGTTGTACAAAGTAAAAGACCTAATCCAGAGTTCCAAGAGCAAATTCAGCTTTTCCAATTATGAATTTTCTGGGGAAAAAAAGATTCTTCAAAGAGCTTACTACAGGAATGTTTTGTCTTCTTCTTCTTCTTTTTTTTTTTTTTTTTTTTTTTTTTTGACAGGCAGAGTGGACAGTGTGAGAGAGAGACAGAGAGAAAGGTCTTCCTTTTTGCCGTTGGTTCACCCTTCAATGGCCGCCGCTGCAGCCGGCGCAGCGCGCTGATCCGATGGCAGGAGCCAGGATCCAGGTGCTTTTCCTGGTCTCCCATGGGGTGCAGGGCCCAAGCACCTGGGCCATCCTCCACTGCACTCCCTGGCCATAGCAGAGAGCTGGCCTGGAAGAGGGGCAACCGGGACAGAATCCGGCGCCCTGACCGGGACTAGAACCCGGTGTGCCGGCGCCGCAAGGCGGAGGATTAGCCTATTGAGCCACAGCGCCGGCTCTACAGGAATGTTTTGTAAAACATACAGTTTTTTAAAATGTAAATACATCATCCTAGTAATACAGTGGCCAAAGGAGGCCATTCCTTGTCTCTAAATGATTGGAAAAACTGGGATGTGATCAGCAGATCTCTTCATATCACATGTTCATCAGGCCTATCCATTGGTTGGTGGTGTCATGCATCACTTACAAAATCAAGTGCTTTATTGCTAACATGTCTGTTTAGCTCACACCTGTAAGTTGTGTGTGTTTTAACTGAAAACCATCAAAGAAATTCTAGCCAATGGCAAGCTCTTTCATTGTATATGGATTTTCGTAATAATTCTTTATTCTGTTTTCTGTCTCATTTGTTTAGAAAACTAAATGGGACTATCACTTAAAGCGTAAACTCATCACAACTGGAGGAAGATTATTAGTGTCCATTAGGGACATATTTTATAATATAGTTAAAATTCATAATTCACAAAACCTATACTAGACATTAAGAAAGCACATTTAAGGCAAGTAACTAACTTTAAAAAATGTTAAATTCATTTCTTCTTGACTAATTATGTAGCAGATGCTTAGTCTGAGAGAGCATTTTGCAAAACACTAGCAATCCAATACAAATCATAGAGCCCTTTTCCTGAAAGAAGGTACTGTTAAGTGTGGCTAAACAAGAAGCAGAATACTGACATATTTGAACTTCCGTGAATCTTTCGTTACATGAACATGACTACTAAATAGTCTTTAATTTCATAAGATGTTTTGGGAATATTAATTTCATTGTCAAAGAAGGTAACAAGCTTCTTCAGAATATTAGTAAGGAACATTTTCCCTATCACAATCACAATGCTAGGTATGTAATAATATTCTATAGAAAATTATTTTGTAAGATTTTACTTTCATTATACAATGTAAAGCAATTTAATATACTTATAAGTATCCTTACATATTTACCTGTTTTTTATTGATGTCTAGCCACACAAAATCAATATGTGTGCCAATACTAAATAAACTTTTTGTTAAATTTTGAAATTGGAGCGTTACATAAAGGCTTGTGAATGTTCTGTAATTTCTCCTTTACAGTTCTACTTCTCTCATTATAGGAATCCCCATATGTTATGTACAAGAAAAATCATGAAATGTTTGAAGGAAATGACAAGTATGAAGGATACTGTGTAGATTTGGCATCTGAAATTGCAAAACATATTGGTATCAAGTATAAAATTGCCATTGTTCCTGATGGAAAATATGGAGCAAGGGATGCAGACACAAAAATCTGGAATGGGATGGTAGGAGAACTTGTTTATGGGGTAAGCAAATCCATTTATTGAAGAATTTACTTACATAAACCTGTAATTTCTTTTCACATGGACACACACCAACATTTAAGTGTCTATTACTGTTATATTTTAATTTGCAGCTTCTTTCAAAGAGGCATTTTCAAGTGTTTCTCTATTCCATTAATAATGCAATTCACAAACAATGAAATAAACTGACACTTGGTAACTTCAAAATTAGAAAAGAGGTAAAAATTCAGAATATGCTGTCCTTTTAAAAAAAATGACTTCAGGATACATGGTGACTGTACCCTTAAGGTTGATGCTGATATTAATTGCAGGAAGAGATTTCATGTAATAGTATAAAGTTTCTCATTATTTTGTCAAGTTCTTTATATCCCTATTGTTTATAATTTCTCTTAAGCATTTTTTGAGTAATTAATGAAACACTCACTACTGTGGCTTCTATTAGAAGATTCTTGTAATTCTACTGAGCTCAATAAATTTAAACCTTATGTAATTCCATCATTTTTAAAGTAGCTTACACACAGCAAAGCAAAAGCTAGAATTTATCCTGGAGCAGATCGCAATGAAGCACACCATGCCCTTCCCTTGAGTACAGCAGATAGTGAGGGTACACATTCATAGCCAAGGGCAAGTACAGCATAGATGTTCTTGCCTGAATGAACAAGGCCAAGGTCAGTCTCTTCAGCTATCACTGTGAAGTGTTAAAATCAAACACTGTTATCAAATGCTGTTGTTGGTATGATATTTCAAAAGTCTAGAAACCAAAACTGCAATTGACGGTAAGCTCTATCCATCTTGTAACCAGTAAAAGTAACATACACATGAAATGCATTCTCAGATTTCCTAAAAGTCAATTCATATTTCACAGATTTCACCTTCAAAGCATATTCAGTCTGATTAATTCTCACAAGACTCCTTTGAAATGAAGAATTACACAGAGAGCCATCTTCATCCAGAAAAAGTCTAGATAGATTCTGAACATAATGCAAGTCCACAGAGGGACTCACTTCCCCAGCCTGAGCTGCAATTCAATAATTTCATGATTCTGCATCCTGCTTTTCAGACCGTGAAGCAATGAACATTTTCCGCACAGTACAGTATAGTAGCTAAAACCTCAGCAGAAAGAGGAAATTGTTTGACATTATAAAGCAATCAGTTAGTTTTATATCCATAGGAAAGAACTGCTGACTGCTTAGGTGACCCCAGATGAAGGGGAAAATGCATTTTTAAAAAAAAGCAAAACATAGTTTACCACAGGATTCATTGATAGTTTCATATAGACTTTTTGTTGCAAAGAAAAAGAGTTCCTAAAGCATTTCTTCCATGGTTATTATTTTTAACATTTGATACAGTAAGAACATTTTAGATATAATGTTATCAAAGTTATTAGAACTATGGATCAGTCATCCCTTATCCAAAATGCTTGGAACCAGAAGTTTTTCAGATTTTGCCTTTTTTTTCATATTTTAAGATTTGCATATACATGAAAATATAGCTTGGGGATGACACTCAAAGCTAAACATGATGCTCATTTATGTTTCTTGCATACCATATGCATGTAACCAGAGGAAATTTTTTTTTTTTTTTTTGACAGGCAGAGTGGACAGTGAGAGAGAGAGACAGAGAGAGAAAGGTCTTCCTTTTGCCGTTGGTTCACCCTCCAATGGCCGCCGCTGCAGCCGGCGCACCGCGCTGATCCGATGGCAGGAGCCAGGATCCAGGTGCTTTTCCTGGTCTCCCATGGGGTGCAGGGCCCAGGCACCTGGGCCATCCTCCACTGCACTCCCTGGCCATAGCAGAGAGCTGGCCTGGAAGAGGGGCAACCGGGACAGAATCCGGCGCCCCAACCGGGACTAGAACCCGGTGTGCCGGCGCCGCAAGGTGGAGGATTAGCCTATTGAGCCACGGCGCCGGCTCAGAGGAAATTTAATAAATATTTTTAATACTTTTCCATAAAAAAATTTGTGGACATTAGTGGGTTTTGACTACAACCTACCACATGAGATCAGATATGGATTTTGTAACTTGTGGTTTCATGTCCGTGTTCAAAGAATTTCAGATTTTGGAGCTTTCCAAATTAGGAATTTCCAACCTGTACAGTAATTAATTTCCTTTAGAAAACACTATTGAGTGTTTCATCTCAAGAAAACATAATTGGATTAGCAGTTAGTTATCGGCAGCATAACTAACCTGAGTTACTTTCTGGGACATTTTTTATATATTTCCCTTATAACGTTCTTACCCACCAGTCAGCCCAGGCCTATCCCTTTTCAAGTATTCTGGTCATGTTTTATTTGGGAGGAATTGTTCAAATAAAGAAAACAGATGATATGAAAAGAGAAACATCAACTAAGGATCTAATAGATGTGGAGAGAAATTTAAAAAAGTAAAAGAAGCATCATTAGCGACAACAAAATATTGTATCAGTAATACACATGTAACAATAACTAAAAGTCTCACAGTCAAGTTCTCAAGGAGAGCAAGACATCATTATCATGCTCACTCATCAGCCAGTGTGTGAGTATTTAAAATCTTTGTGTCACCAATTGAGCTGACCACTTTTGTTCCCAAAGGGATCTTCCTCCACATCTCTTATTCTTCCCACAGATTTAATACTTTACTCTTCTGCCTCTCAATTCTTACTCCTCTCTTTCTTACTGCTAACACATACATGAATGTTGGGGTCCCAGGATGCTAGGTAAACTCAATCCATTCTCTTCTAGCAGACAAAGACTATTATAAGGCAAAGTGATTCATTTTGAATCTGTTTTGTTTAGTCTTTGCAAACTTTGTCACTATAATTGCTATGGGTAGATTGTGAAACACTCTCCTGATATCCAGCACAACACCACAAGGGGACCCAGAAGCAAAGACCACTTTTAGCTTCTCAGGTCTTTCTGCAGTCACACTATGCACTGCAGCAGGTTCACCCTGACTTCCTGTGTGTGATGCTCCAGGGCCTTCTCCTGAACCCTGCCTTCCGTGTGTTGTGTGTTGGGGTGAAGGGGGAGTGCTATTTCAGTCTGACAGAATGTTCCTCACGGTTATTCCGTTGGCCCACTAGCGCTTCTGCATAGATTCATGAGCCTCACTCCAATGATGCTCAAGAACCCAAATCGCATCCAGTTCTTCAAAGACATATTTTATGCACTTAATTTTGGGAATCACTAGTAATGAAAAATGGCATGCACAGAGAATATATATATATATATATATATATATCCTGTTTAGTGGTCTCTTGGGAAAATCTCAGACTTCAAAAGTGTCCCTAACCAAACAGTGTTGTCACCACCATCATCCAATGTATCCTTCCACTGTAGTTTTCTGAGCTCGGCACACTTCATCTCCCCTTATGTGTCTTTCCTTTAAGACTCTCATGAGGGGTAACTTGCATACAAGATACACTACACAGAGTAATGTAATATGTGAAAGGCAGCATTTCAAGTTGATGACAGGATGCAGTATTTATTTACCGCTGTTGAAACACCAAAAAAATGGAAAATTAATTCTGTAACATTTAATCATGAAATATACCAAATAAATTTCACAGGGATTATAGGTACTAAAATGAAATATAAGTATGTAATACTGATATTGGAAAGATTTTTCTAAACCATGAAACTGAAAGCTGAAAAAAATAACATGATCTTATAAGGCAACAACAAAATTTAAAATATATATATGTTATAATAAAACATCTGAACTAAGTTATGGAAATGAGACAATTGATGAATAGGGAAAAGACTTGTTCATTTATGGGAAATAAAGGTTGGTATTGCTAATATATTGATAAGCACTTACAAATTAGGAAATAAAAGTAATAGGCCATATGAGAAAATTATGATGGGTAATATATAAAGAAGTAAAAGTAGCTGTTTATAAAAAACAAATTCAAATTAATTCAATGGGATTTAAGTTTCCATACAAAAAATTGGTAACAAAAAATAAGAATAAAGATAAACGGATGTTCTACAAGGTTCAGAGTTGCACATACTTTCACATAGTGCTGGTGACAGTAGAATTTTGCATCATCTTCCTCAAGAAAAGTTGGACAAAATATATTAATAGCATTAAAATGGTCATTAGAACAATAATTCTACTTCTAGAAATTTATCTTAAATAACTGAGATATGTATGCAGACTGATTTTCACATGATAGAATATTTGCAACCATTGAAACTTGTATGTTGAAATGAAGAAGTGCTTATCATATTCTTTTGAGAAAAGGAATTATAAAATATCATGTTCTTGGCCGGCGCCATGGCTCACTAGGCTAATCCTCCGCCTTGCGGCGCCAGCACACCGGGTTCTAGTCCCGGTCGGGGCGCCGGATTCTGTCCCGGTTGCCCCTCTTCCAGGCCAGCTCTCTGCTGTGGCCCGGGAGTGCAGTGGAGGATGGCCCAAGTCCTTGGACCCTGCACCCGCATGGGAGACCATGATAAGCACCTGGCTCCTGGCTTTGGATCAGCGCGATGCGCCGGCCGCAGCGCACCAGCCGCAGAGGCCATTGGAGGGTGAACCAATGGCAAAAAGGAAGAGCTTTTCTCTGTCTCTCTCTCTCTCACTGTCCACTCTGCCTGTCAAAAATAAAATAAAATAAAATAAAATATTCTGTTTATTGCATTGAAAAAAGAAAAATAATATTCACAGAGCAAAGTCTAATAAGGCATATAGAAAGAATAAGTGGTCAAAATAAGATAACTTTTCCTGTTTTGCTGTGTCTGTTTTTATAAACTAATTTATAGCTAGTTCTTTTATCACTTGTTTAAGGAAAATTATACAAATAATAACTAGGGAAAATAACAATGCATCAGCGATGGTTCTGTCTGTTATTTGTGTGGGCATTTATTATGCAAGCGAAGTTTATTCCCATGTAAAGGCATATAGAGTCAATTCTAAGCAACTGGGTGGAGAGCATGATCACAAGATACCTCCCCTATCTTAACAAACCACTTGCCCTTGCATCAAGCTGCAGGTCATTGTACCAAACCAGGGGCTGAGTGACAGCCACTTTGTAAGCACACAAATGTCCAGCTATGCTTCTGAGTCCATGTTGATGCCAAATAATTTTCTTTTGAAATACGTAATCAAACCCCCTTTTCATTTGTAGATAGTTTTTATACCTCCATATATTTCATTTTGTTTGAGAGGTTACATAATTGAATGAATCCCAGACTCAAATCCCAGAGCTGCTGTGATATGTAAAACTCCTCTCTGACTCTGTTTCAGCATCTACAGGAGGCCATTACAATGGTTCTATCAGTATCAGAAAGAGAATCCTTCTACAGGTGTTCACTATTCTCATGTTCAGGTTTTCAATACATAACCACATTAAAACTATAAGGTAATCAAGAGAGCATCCTCATTTAGAGCTACAAAAACAGTTTCAAAAAATTTGCTCAAAATCACAGAACTCTGAAAATGGAATTGTTGTTTTCTAATCATAATAACTGAAATTGAGTCTACTGTTTTCCAAATTCCCTTTTAAAAATTGAAAGTAGAAGATCAAAGTATGTGAACAGCAAGAAATAAATGCTAATATCTAGATTTTTGTGTGTGTGCATTGAATTGGAAATTGTGGTCAAATAATGGGTTTTCTTTTATCATACAAACACAGACTTTATGATCAGTTTTCTCATAGCTGAAAAGGAATAACAAAGAACTCTTTCCAATTTGCAATTCATAACATTAAGAGAGAGTCAAATAATAAATCAGTGGCAACATTTCAAATGAAACAGAAACGACTGCAACATAGTAGCAATCCTGGCCAAGAAATTTAGAAATTCAGCCATATGGAAAGACAACTAAGTCTCCTTTTCTGCACTGTCTCAGATTCTGAAAGACAAATATAGTTGAGTCCAAATTATTTTGCTTACCCACTTTCTCTTTTTTCTTCCTTTTATGTAATTATTATCACTAATAAAAACATTTTGTACAATTTAAACAATACTTTAAAAAAAAACACTATTCATGTTTGATCTTTCACTGGCTTTACTCATTGTTAACATTGCCCCAAAATGTAGAATGAATGCATGACTGGTTAGCTGTGAATGGATCACTCCGGGCTGATTGCTCTATGAAATGCATTAACCTACGTGTTTCCCTGTGTCTTTTCTCTTACAGAAAGCAGAAATTGCTATTGCCCCTCTGACAATCACTTTGGTACGAGAGGAGGTCATTGACTTCTCTAAGCCCTTCATGAGTTTGGGCATATCTATCATGATCAAAAAGCCTCAAAAATCAAAACCGGGAGTGTTTTCCTTCTTGGATCCTCTGGCATATGAGATTTGGATGTGCATAGTCTTCGCCTACATTGGTGTCAGCGTGGTCTTGTTCCTAGTTAGTAGGTTCAGCCCCTATGAGTGGCACACAGAAGAGCCAGAGGATGGAAAGGAAGGACCCAGCGACCAGCCTCCCAATGAGTTTGGCATCTTTAACAGCCTGTGGTTTTCCCTGGGTGCTTTTATGCAGCAAGGATGTGACATTTCACCCAGGTTAGTTTCAAAACACAATTTCCCAGTACTTCTAGATGCTGTGCAGTGTTTCTACATGTTTTCCTAAAGGCAGAATCACAGAGAAATATTTCAGCTTATAAATTAGCCCAAGTATATTCATAGTTCCTTCCAGTTAAGTACAACAACTAGATATAGCATAAAGATTAACTTTCTCAATATAAAAGTAAGTAACTCATCAGAGCTCTCAAAAAGTCATTTAGTACTAATATTTCATTCAGTGGTTTGACAAATGCAAACTAGAATCTAAATTGTAGAACAGGAATTCATTTTTCGTCAGCTTTTCATAAACAGATGTGGTTGCTATTCTTGATTTGTTGCCTAAACAGTAGGAAAAGAGCCAACAGTGTAAATAAGTTAGTTTTAGGGAGGCTTTTGCACGACCTGTGTAGTCATGGTTTCCCTCCTTTGAATACCTGGAAGACATTATTAAGCTACAATATTCACCACAAATGCAGCTAAACTCCTATTTCAAGAAAAATGCGTGATTTCTCCCATTGAGAAAGTAGCTAAAAGAATGAGAAACAAAGTGTTGAATTATTGACTGTATATTGGCATCATAAATATATGCTTTTGTTCTTTTTTAGAAATGTCTGATTTCTCAAAAAAGAGGCACTTTGGCTACAATACACTTGATGTTTTTTAAGATCCAGGAAAACTACTGATGTGTTTAAATTCTAGTAACACAGGGAATTGGATTGATAATTTTCAGTTAATGTAATGAGAAGAAACCAAAGCAAGTCAAACAATGAACTTTAAAAGCCAGTATTAAATAAACATTAAGTTAAAGCAGTAGGTGTCACTTTAATGACAACAAATATTAGGGGAGCCTTTCAGAGTTGAAAATGCCACCAAAATATGAAATGATTCTTTACAATGAAAAAATATATGTTTCAGAAAATTTGCCACAAGAATTTTAGATAGTTTCATAGTTCCAATGAATGAAATCAACTATTAATAGTTCCTGGATTTTTTTTTCATTCCCTCCTCATTTTTCATACTTCACCCACACATCTCTGGTAACTCAAGAAAGAATGAAGAAAGAAAATGTTTACACCAGTATGTAAAGATAGTTTGTGATGTGGCTCAACCTCTATGCAGTTCAGAAATTAAAAACTCAACTATGCTCACTTGGAGATCAACCCTAGAGCCTCATGCAGTACAGTCTCACCTTGGCCTGTCTCATCCGTCCTGGCAAGATTCTCACTGAAGCTGAAAATGAGTTCTATCTTCAGTCTCTGCCAAGTTTGTCTCTACAGCTTTCATGGGTCAAATATATGACCCCACCTATGGTCCAGATATATTGCTGTTTTCTATACCACTAAGAGAAAAAAAAAAAACACTGCAAATTAAACCATAAGTCTATATTTGATCTCACCAACCATAGGCTGACTCCTAATTTTAGAGAAGCTAAAATATACAGAAAGATGGTATTAATAAATTTAAGTAAGTATTCTTCGTCTCTATCTGAGGGAGTTGCATTAAGTTCTACAATTCTGCTAATAAAACAATACATAGAAATTTTTTTCCAATTTTCAAAGGCACTTAAATATTAAATGTAGCATGAAAACAATATTATACAGATATACTAAAATCATTTTGTGAGTAGCCTATTGGAAAATAAAATGATATTTACCGTAATTATTTTTAATTAATTGATGGTATTTCTTATCCTTTTCTGTTGGCTAGAGAAAGGAAAATGTGCATTATCTTATTCATGTTTAGATCCCTCTCAGGTCGAATCGTTGGAGGTGTGTGGTGGTTTTTTACACTCATCATTATATCATCTTACACTGCTAACCTGGCTGCTTTCCTGACGGTTGAGCGAATGGTCTCCCCTATAGAAAGTGCAGAAGACTTGGCCAAACAGACAGAGATTGCCTATGGAACGCTGGATTCAGGGTCGACAAAAGAATTCTTCAGAGTAAGTTGAGGGTAAAACTCACCATGAAATGTTTATCTCTATGAAATCTAGGCAGTTTTTCCAATAGTCACATTACGAGCTGTTGCTTTTATAGTTTTTGCAAATATAGTTTTAGTGGCTATGTTAAATGCTAATAATTCTTGCATTTTATAATCACTTTAATTTGCAAAAATAAGTTGATTTCCTTATGTTACAAGAACTTTCCCTAAGGAATGGTAACAGTGAAAACGTAGTTTAAGAAAGTTTATTACATAATTCATCTAAAATATTCAATATTGATAATGCTATAATGCTACTAGATCTGGCAAGATTGGTTTTATGTATGCTTTAGAGCTAAGAACATGAAAGTGAAAGCAAGTTTTACTTTCAAAGAATACATTTAACTTGCTGCATTTGAAACTCACAAGCTGAATTGCAGATTTTACTAAAACTAGATGTAGTATTATTATACAATCTATTTTGTAACAATGAATTTCAAAACAACCTATTGGTAAGAACTATTGAGTTCTGAGCACCTCTGTAAAACATTGTATGGCATTTAGTTTGTGTTGATTTCTCTGCTTTGCATTTAAAATTTCCCAAACTGGTATAATTGCATTACATATTCACATATGAATATGCTGTTTTTCACTTTCCATCAAGATAGTAAAGGGTCTTTGTTTCAGCTGTTTGTTCCATTATGGGCTTGAATTTTTTTTTAATTATTTGAAACAGACCTAAAAAGAGTTCCCTTCTACTGGCTCATGCTCCAAATGCACATAACAGGCGGGCCCTGGGCCAGGCAGAAACCAGGGGCTGGGATCTCAATCCAGGCTTCCCAAGTGGCCAGGAAGGATCCATGTATTTGAGCCATCACCTGCTACCTTCTAGTGCCTGAATTAGTAGAAACCTGGAATTAGGAATAGTAGACAGGATTCAAATGTTGGCACACTAATACAGAATTTAGGCATTTTAATAACCTCTTAATCCCTAGTTTTTGCATACTGAACCCTCTTCCCCTCCTGGTCTACTTAAATCCAGAGATATACACTTGGTAATATCTGATCACAAATGAGGGTTCATTTTTATGACTTCAGAAGCAAAAGCAAAAGAACTTTGAAAGTAACTATAGAGGCATTTTCACATGAAACTAAGCAATAATTAGTATATTTTATATTTAATGCCATTTGTGGAGACTAGAATATTTAAAGCCTAGAAGGGAGAACATATTTCATTATTTTCTAAGCTTTTATGTAAAAATAGCAAATCTTTATTCATGCTTATATATAATATTTGACTGATTACATTTTCATTTTAAACTTATACATATAATTTTCTCATGGCTTGAAAATTAAACAACAAAATGTGCTACTCCTTAAGCCAACTTTCACTCTAATATACTTGAATTTCAGTAGGATAGTTATTATTTTTAACAAAGATTTGATTGTAATATTCTAATACACCACTGATATTTACATAATGTTAAGTCAAGAACAAATCACTCAAAACTCAGTGAAACTCATCTATGAACATTAATTAAAAAATAAATCAGACAATGAAACAATGTGATTGTCAACTTGGAGCATTGTTATCAGACAAAACAAAACATAAGTAAATCAAAAAGCATACCAATTTTAAAACTACAAATAGTCATGATAGATTTTATTAACTGCATCCTATGGATAAATTTAATTAATACACGTTTTTTAACTTATGGAACTCATCTCCATTTCTAAAGCTTAGTAATAGAAACATACTGCTCATCATGCATTTTATCATAATTTCAGTAGTTCACTGCAAGTGTTAGTTTGCAATTGCACCTCCCAAAAGTAGGTAAAATTTAATGTTTGCCTAGAAACTATTATGTAAATGCATCAAAATAGAGAACAGATTTGTGCTATCCCTTGCATTTTACTGACAAGTGATGACTGATTGTCATTTAAAGAAAGAAAATATTTGCAGAGCTCCATTCTGCCTTGAGTGATAAAGGAAAAAAGAAATGTCATTTGGATTCCCTGAAAAAGCTTCAAAAATAATTCACTGGAAAGTTCTTCAGCATCAAGCACAATGAAAAGATACATTTTTGACCTTTTAAAAGTTACGGGTTTTTTTTTTTAACTTTTCAATTTCAAAGCACTGGTGAGGTAGATAAGGTAGTATAGTGATAAGAAATACAGGAATAAGGAAAGCTGCTTCCAAGATTTATAGTCTTGTATACAGGCTGTACAAGTACCACACCTTGGTTTCTTTCTCTCTCATCCAACTTCAGTTTTAATATTGGAATATTTTTGTAAGTGTAGATATTTATTGTTGCAGAATGCTCTGAACCCTAATGGGACAAGAAAATAATTTGCCCTAGCAGCACACTTTCAAGAATGCATAACTTTGGATTCTCTGATAAGAATCTCATTCATTTCCTGCCCTGGGTGCCTCTCTTCTCCCCTGTTCACAATGACCTGGTTTAAATAAACCTTTTGTCTGATGGATTGAGGAAACAGCACGTGAAGGGTATTTTTGGACTTGTCAAAAATGTTTTCTCCTAGGAACATGGTAATTGCACATCTATCAACTCCACTAAGCCACCTCAGGCACTGAACAATCCTCAGCACTTCAAAAAACGTCACCCTTATAATCAACTGGAAAAAGAATTAGGCCATGGGGAAAAATTACATCTGAACTTGACTGACGCCTTGGGTCTGTCCCATCATGAAACTTCATTTGATTCACGTCCTTTGTACCTTGTTAGGCAGAAACACAGAGGCATTTAAAGAATATCTGTACTTTTCTCTTAATGACAGCCTCCTCAGTGCCTAGGGATTTTTTACTTTATTATACACCTGATTCAAACACACTGATTTTCATTTCAATGCAGATTTTCATCTTGTGCCTGTTTCAGTCCTTAGTAAAATCGTGAATGCATGAATGAGGTAGATTATTTACTTGCAATTTGTAATATTATTAAATAATGCATTGATGAACTCTCAGTAAATCATCAGTCTTGCCATAAAACCTACTAGAGGGGGTAAATAATTCACCTGGTGGCAATGTAAACATTCACTGTAATGCATTCTTGTTGAAAAAGGAGGACAGCACATTTTTAAAACTCCAAGAATTATTTTGAATAATAGATTAGTGCATTAAATCAGATAATTTCCAGTGCACTGAGTTTCACAATAAAAATGAAACAAACGCAGATCTAGATAAATTTTCTAATTTCCAAAAAATGAAGACTTAAATATTGTTGCTTATTATCCTGAGCATATTCACTTCCCACACTTAATTATTAAGTAAATACTACAGTTGAATATTTCAGAGACTTAAAACTGCCATGGTCAAGTACATTTATGAGTATGCTGGGTTTGCAGAAATTTCCTCATTTTAGCCTGTCTCATCAAATTTATAAATAAATATTTGCTCATGCCTACTCCTTAGCAAACATTCTCTGCAGTCACAAATCAAGCATAGAGAAATTACTTCCAGCCCTTTGCCTCTTGATTCCTTCTCATCCCTTTGCCAAGTGCAGGTGATCTTATCTAAATCATGACCTTTTAAATCAGAAGCAGAGAACTTGTAAACATTAACATAGTGATATACAGGGCTATTTTTTTTTTTTACCAAATATGTTGCTTTCATCTTTCCTCTATTTTTGGGACTGGGAGTTTGTATTCTACAATTTCTATTGTGCCTACAACCTATGAAATTCAGCCTAATAACAATGGGTTTTCTTTTCTTCAGGATTTGAAAGTGATTAATTCAACCCTTCTTCCACCTACTATTTATACAATTTAATAAATTTAAGTAAATTCAGCAGCAGAAAAATAATAATGGCCTAAAAGGACCAAACCCTAAAAATACCCCATTTAGCCATGTTGTTTTTATTTAACTGATCTGTTCCTTTAATAAAGTATTTAATCAGAACTGAAAATTTTCAAGTACTTGAGATGTTTTAAAATATTTCAATTAAAACAATACTTGGGTGAATTTATTTCTATTTTCAATATACTATACATAATGAAGTGTATATTTATGGAGCCCTACCCCTTTTTGGGTGAAGCTTATATAAATATGTAAGAAGGTGACTAAATGTTAAAGAATGTGTTTACCATCATTTCTCTAAATATCAGAACAGATATTTAAGGATAATCTGCATCCAGTAATCCAGAGAGTTTGTATTTTTCTAAACTCATTATAAAATGGGAAAGTTCATTCTCTGGAACAGAATTCTATTTTGAGAGATGGGATGAATGAAGCCTGGCAATATGGCATTCCCATAGCTCTGGGTTCTGAAGCCAGGAAATTCTCTTTCCTGGAAGCACATAGAATATTTGCAATTCAATTGAAGTTTTACAATGGGATTTTTTGATACAGGAATTTCTATAGTTAGAAGTAGTCAGTTACTAACTAAACACATGCATATACATCACAATCACCATGTCAAGTGTTAACAGCATTAAAACATTTCATAGCACACTACAGGATATCTATTCCCTTGTTAATACTGGGAATATACTTTAACATAAATATATATTAACATAAAATATCATTTCCTTTGGTATTCAAGTATGTGAATCAGTTATTGTGTGGTTTATTATTTAGGTTTATTAATTAGTAATTTCTCATCTAATAAAATCAGCATTTTGAATTCCACTTAATTAGCTTTTTCTTTGTCTACCTGAATAATTTTCTTTTAACCCAAAATATGAGTTTTGAAGTTTGCTGTTCCAGATACTTTTTGGTGATTAAAGAATTATTTCTTGTTGGAGTCTAGATTCTGGTAAACAAATGAGGTTCAATAGAAATAAATAAACATACTACTCAATATTATATTTACATGTAAACTTAAATCTAGATTAAGTCTCCATTACTTTTTTTTTTTTTGATGCAGATACAAAACTTTAGCATCTTGTTATGGAATAAGTGCAATTGCACCAGATAAACATCTGTGTGTACAACTGTATTATCAAGTCTCAAACAGGAGTCCAATTTTCTTAACCTACTAAATATATCTTTGGGAAACATTTGAGTTCATGTGGATAGATTTTCTTTCTTTTTTCTTAAGATTTATTTATTTATTTCAGAGGCAGAGTTAGAGAGAAAAAGAGAGACAGCTGTCTTCCATTTGCTTGTTCACTCCCCAAGTGGCTGCAAAAGCTAGAGCCGGGCTGATCCGAAGCCAGGAGCCAAGAGCTTCTTCTGGGTCTCCCATGCAAGTGCAGGGGCCCAAGCACTTGAGCCATCTTCTACTGCTTTCCCAGGCCATTAGCAGGGAGCTAGATCGAAAGTGGAGCAGCCAGGATTCAAACAGGGCCCATATAGAATGCTGGCACCACAGACAGAGATTTAACCTACTACACCACAGCTTCAGTCCCTGGATATATTTTCACATTAAAAAATTCCTGTGTGAATGAAGAATGTAATGTGAGTGCAGATCCAAGCAAATGGACAGGTAAATTAAGTAGTGGGAGTAATGTTGATACAACTTAGATACAGAAAAATAAAATATAAAAACAGATAAAGTTCTTGGTTTGAGTCAGGGGATTAGAATGAACACCTCTTCAAAGTATAAAATGGGAAAACAGTAATCACCTCTCTTCAAAGTCAGTATATGTTTGGAGATTTTTGTCAGAAAAAAAGCCTACAAATGTTTTGATCAACCTAGAGTTTGATTCTTAGAGATACTTGGCTTAATAACTGTTGCAGATTTTTCCTCCTCTTTTTATGTTCAACTACTGACGTAATATGGACTGCACTTTTCTGTACATCTTATTTGGATGATTTTCATTTAAACACTGAGGCATGGAAAAAATCATAACGCAATAAATCTCCCTATTTGTTACAACTCAAACACAGCATGGAAAGTAGTGTTATGACCTCTGCATCCAAGTTTACATCTCTGGTGATCCTTTTCAAGCAAATCATGAATGTGATATAAACTATAAATGTGATAGAAAACACAATTTTAAATGCTTAGTGCTCTTCATGGCATGCTACATTTAAAAAGTAATAACTTGCTAGTTAAGCAGTTGAATATCGTTAATATTATGGCTGGAGACTCAAGTGTCTCTTTAATTATCACTTTTAAATGTCTGTCATTTCAAAGATTTTCCTTAAGTAGTTGTAAAGCGCCTTTACCTAATTTGAGAAGAATCGTGTTACTATTCTGTTACCATGTTGCAAATTGGAGTTAAAGGGCAATGGGAAAGTACTAGGAGGCCTTATCCTTATCTTGGTTCAGTCAATATTAACACGTTGTTCCTTTCTTTCCTGTATTTAATTTTATTTTAATTTCCTCCAGAGATCAAAAATAGCAGTGTATGAAAAGATGTGGACCTACATGCGATCAGCAGAACCGTCAGTGTTCACTAGGACTACAGCTGAGGGAGTAGCTCGTGTCCGCAAATCCAAGGGCAAATTTGCCTTTCTCCTGGAGTCCACTATGAATGAATACATTGAGCAGCGAAAGCCATGTGACACGATGAAAGTGGGAGGAAATCTGGATTCAAAAGGCTATGGAGTAGCAACGCCCAAGGGTTCCTCATTAAGGTGGGTGGAATAGTATAACAATATAACATGTGTTGTTATAGTATTCCACCTTCCCTGATGTCCCTGAGAGATTATTTTGTTTTCTGTGTAACCATGGTATGTTTGTTTGTTTGTTTGTTTTCTTTTTCTCCATTTCATTGTTTTGATCAACAATCAGGTAATATTTTTAATTTTACAATAATTGATCATAGTTGACATCAATATTTGAAGGCCATATAAAAACCAAACTGGTTGAACACTAGCTGCTTCCAGTGGGCCTAAAACATGGGTATTAGATGCTTTTGTATCTCATCAACTTTTTTTGGCCACCAAAATGTATGCTATTGTTGTCAGTAATGATTCTACATTTTATCATTATTTTTCTTTTTTAAATTATGCCTGGCCACTAGTTGCCGAGTAGAAAGAGATTGACATCTTTCTAGCAAACCACATTTTTTCCCATTTCAATGTTTCATTTATTATGGCATCATTATATTTTAGATTATCCTCAGCTTGTATTGGTGCTAAGTGTGAATCACATCTATTTACAAAAGCAATTATGATCAAAGGGAAAAGTGGACTCTGGTTTTATAGTGCTTACTCAAGTCACACTCCCACTTATTTCAAAGGGAGTATGGTGTAAGTAAGATCTGTAAAATTAGACCCGATGACCATCCAAAATGTTTGCAGATGCACCCCGATGAACAAAGCATTAGAAGTGTGAAGTAAAAGTGAGACTTTCATTCTTAGGGAAATATTGGTCAAATCTGCCCTTTTTATCCTTTTGGTCCTGGACATACAGAATTCACATGTTTATGTCCAGGAGGCAGAATTTCCTAATTTCCTTAAGCAATAGAGGTTTCTGTGAAATTTAAGGGGCTAGAGCCCATCAAGAGTGATGACTGACAGATTACTCTGGCATCAGTGCTGCTTGGGAGAGATTCACACAAAGCTCAAATTCAAGAAGAAAGCAGGATCTTTGCTAAAGGACTTACCCAAGAACCTGGTCTTGAAAAATGATGTCTCTGGTAAGCCACTGAATAAACGAAGGTAATGAGACCTCTACTGTCACCCAGCACAAGGGAATGCAGTATAAAACATATATGATTGTTTTTGTTGGTTTCAAAAAGGGAACTGCAATGTGTTTTGATGTATATGTTGGGTGGGATAGGGATGAAAAGAGATCTAAGAAACAAATTCCAGTACTGGAAAGAATGGTGTTAAACAAATATTTTGTGTTTGCTAGCAGCATTGTAATAAGTAGTGAGGAGGTTTATGATATGCTACAAAAGTGACAATTTTAAAAGGAGACAGAACAAAACTAATGGGTAAAGATAAATTTGGGAGTAGACTTTAGCAATTCTGAAGTCAGGGTTTTTTTGAACATACATTCCATAAGAAACTGGAGAAATGTGCAGGGAGAAAGCCAAACTAATAAATTATCCATAATTAAATTCTGCCCAAAATGATTTTAGCCACTGAGAAACTTATACTGGCCTCAGGATATTTGGTCTTAATATTTTGTGTGATACAGTATGAGAAATATTCAGAGAGACCAAGTGGCAAATAAATCTCTGTTGAAGTAGTAGTTATAAGATCACCTGGGAGTAAGTTGTTTAGAAGAAATAAAAGGGGGAAAAGCAATAGTGGCTGATATGTAGATCAGTGTTCAGACTATTGATTACATTCACTGGATGTCTCTTTTGCTCTTAATTAATTCTCTGTGGATGTAGCTGCTTTGTCCTCTGTCTTGTGTCTACAGATAAAGTCAAGCTCCAGGGAGTAAATTTGGCCCTCAGATACGGGTGTGTTTGACTCCCATTGATGGCAAGAAGAGTTCCTCTTAAATGTACCACTTTGTCAAATCCACACTACAGGGATTGTTTGGGGAGAAGCTGAAGGGCTTCATCTGTCTAGAACTGTATAATAATCAGCCACTGGCTTCCCCCTCTTTTCCTGTCCTTGCCTGAATCTTGTTAATGAGGCAATTGTTAAACACAGCTTCCTGGATGGAGAGTTTGTTTATGTGCTTTGTTTTATATATGCCATAATTTCCTGAGCAAGCTGGCCTCTGCATGCCAAAACCAGTTATTTTGTCCAGTCTTTGAGAACATTGGAAGGGCACTGTAAGCTAACCAACATTCACCTTATCCGTACGTTCTTACTCTCCCACCTCCACCCATCTAAGAAGGAGGCTCATTAGGATTAAATCCTCATTCTTATTCCACTAGGTTTCTTCTGTGTCAAAAGAGACAAATCAATCTAGATATTGACAAATAGGCAGCTTTTGTATAAATGATTCAGTTTGTCGAAGTAAATTTAAAATAATTGCTTTTATCAGAGCAAGGTCCAGAGAGCATATTTGCATCAGCTGTCTTTGAACTCTTTCTCTTAATCAGTTCAGTAGAGACTTAACTGTTTTGCTCTACAATCTATCTTTTAACTAGATTTTTTTAATAGTAGCTTCAGATATAGTGAGACTTCTGAATTTCATTGTCATTGACTATGGCTTTCTTAGAAACTGTGCTGTTGTGTTTCATTAGGCAACATGAAACTTTAAAACAGTAAGTTTTCCTTCTATGTGAGTTTAAACCAGAAAACGCAAAGGACTAGCAATGTTATTTTGATCTGGGGAGTTTTCAGTTTCCAGGCTTTGTTGTTTATCCAAATGCTTCAGAATAAATGTCACAGAAAAGATAAATATAACATATAGTCAGGATGGGAAGTGGACTTCAAAACAAAGCAATCAGGATTATCACAGAGCCTATATGACTTGACAAAAATGTAACAGTGAAGATGAGTTCCCATTTTTACGGTAGAGAATGAAATATAGGGGTGTTTGTTATTCAGAGACTTTATTTCTGACTGGTGTTTTCTGGATATACACATTGAAATTCACAGCCTTTGATCTACACCGTCACTTACAGATAGCCAACAACAATGCCCAGAAATTGTTGGTTTACTCTACTTTAACATAGATTCTCCAAATTTTAGATAACAGTTAATGCCAGATAAGTTGATCTTGTAATTTCTCCTGCATGCCCAAGCTGTTTATGTTTCTGTGAATATCATGGCTTTCCTCTGCATTCCTTTTCAAGCACCCTTGACAATGCAAAACAAGTGTGAAAGCCTTTCTCTGGCAGAGCAATTTTTAAAGATTGTTTTAAAATATACACTTTAGATGGCATTGCAGTAGAATGTTAAAGTTTAGATGAAAGAGGAAGTATATTTATTTTTACTGTCTACACTATCAACTTTACTATACAAATTTACTGTAGTATAGATATCTACTACACTATAATATTGATGGTATAATAAAGTTGTTTCCACTAAACTACTGTCACCTGTACTACCATATCTGCATTATACTAGTTATTATACTATTGACTTCACTGTACCATAGTTGTTTAGAGGGAATCCTAATTTTTTAAATATAGATTGACTTAGATAGATGTGAGAAGAGAATACCTTTTCAAAATGCATTCATAATGCCTAGCATCTCTAAGTACCTCCAGAGAATAAAGATCATATCCGAAGACTTTCCCCAATCCTTCTAAGGATTTGTATACTTGAACTTAGTGTTTGGAGCCCAGTTAAAAAGCTTTAGTCTCCTATAATTTTATCATTCAACAGTGATTCTTCCCACTCAGACTTTGCCTTCTCTAAAGATGTTTGTAGACCTATGCATAAAATAAAACAAATGCCTTGTCATGAAAAAAAAAAAAATCATGTTCCAGGAGAAAGCACTTCCAACAGAACTTTACCAGTGGGTGAGAACTGAAAAAAAAAAATGAGGCCCAGTTGGACTTGGAGATGCCCTAATGCAGAACCCACAGCAAGGAGAGCTGGTCCTTTACATCCAAGCCATCATGGTTAGTTTACAACAGACAACCCAGAACCCTGCAGGAATAACATAACAGGGGCAGGAAGTCCTAAGAATGGGAATTAGAATCGCACATCCTTCACTGGACTTTCTCTCTCAGTATTTAACAGTCTTTAGCCTGACAAAGTACTCAGCTCCATGTCTAGATCTTTATCAGGGTAGGCAGAACTCTCTATAGAGCAAATTATGTTTCTTCCACTTTGACATTTTCCAGGGCTAATGTGTTAAAACTTACGATTCAAATTCACATATGAAAAAGCTGTTATCCTAAGGGATCATTTACTCATATAAAATTTGTGAGATATACCTAGCATCAATTCAGGTGTAGTTAGCCTTTTTAAAAATAAACAAATTTGTTGGATATTGTGTATGAGAATAAAGATGTAATCTTCTTTAGCGTTAGAAATAAATCATCTTAGGTAGACACTGGAAAACCACGAAAGTACAGAAATTCAAGGCTGACTACTTAATACTACTGAGTATTACTTTGCCTGAAATGAATAAACATTTATCATGTCTTCTGGAAATGAGTTGAAATACATTAGTAACCACATGTGTTTTGAAAACTATTATAGAAAGAAATATATTTTTTCTTATGGAGGTACTTTATTATTTCTTAGTGTCATTAAAATACACTACAGATAACTTCGTTTTTATGATCCCATTATGTTTTGGAATGTAGTCTATCAGTCCAGGGAATAGACATACACACACAACAAAAATCAATTGCACTTCTCAACACACAAATACACACACACTTCCATTACTGTAATGTGCTTAAACAGATATCTAGTATGATGTTAAGAGATGCTGATGTTTACTATGGGAACCAAATATTTTGTGCTCACAAACTGAGATGGCTTATGGTAGAGCTACAATGTTACGTGTGTCTCAAGGGAAAAAACTTGTAGGGTAGAATGCTTGTAATTCACCTTTCCTTTACTGGATGTTGAGTACAACAGGAAGCCTAAAACTTTTGCTACCATTTGACATTCTGGATTTTTTTACTTATCTTTTTCCTATATCTAAATCATATAGCTAAAATTACAGCTCTCCATGAAAAGGAAATAAGTGGGTTTTTTCTGCATTTCATTAACCATTTATATATTTTTGCCATTCTTCCAATTAGATTTTTAAT